CTTTTCATCTTAGACAATACGTGTTTGTTTTTCCCTCCAGCATCCTTTATTCTTACCCTGCCCCCCTATCCCAGCAGTATTTACTTTCACTTAACTGTTATCTCTTCATTCTATCCTGTCTTGATGCCTCACTCACCATATCTACTAAAAGCACAAATACTGGTTCATACAGGGCCCCTGAGTGGCGGGTGGGGGCCCTAAGTTAGAATGGGGGGGGACCTATTGTCCTTCCCCTGGCCCCCACCCCTGAGCGGCGGGTGGGGGCCCTAAATAAAAATGTAACTTCCCCAGGTGACTAGGGGTCCCCAAACCCCTAGTCACCCCCCTCCCTCCAAAAATAACCCCTACCTACCCCCCTCATCCTAAAAATAGTGAGGGGGGACCATTAGCTAGATACATGTAAAAAATAAAAAATAAATAAAACTTACCATTTGATGTCTTCTTTCTTCTAAAATCTTATTTTTTCAGCCACAAAAAAGGCCAAATAAAAATGCATAATAACCACCGCACTTTGAAAAAAAAAAGAAAAATACCACGGTGGGGGCCGAGGGGAGGACAATAGGTCACCCCCATTAGTTTACTTTAGGGCCCCCAACCGCAGCTCAGGGGTGGGGGCCGGGGGGAGGACAATAGGTCCCACCCCTTATTCTTCTTTAGGGCCCCCACCCACCGCTCAGGGGTGGGGGCTGGGGGGGAGGACAATAGGTCCCTCCCTTTATTTTACTTTAGGGCCCCCACTCTCCGTTCAGTGGTGGGGGCCGGGGGGGGATTTTTTTTTTTTTTTAGAGTGAGACATGCCCCTACTCGCGGTTTAACGAGTAGGGGCAGAATTTACTAATACTAAGTAATTTTTACTTAGTATTAGTAAATTTAGCTGAAAGACCAATTTAGGTCTTTCAGCCTTTTGGTAGATAACTCCCTAATACCGTTGGAATTAGGGAGTTATCTACTAAGCAGCTGCAAGAGAAGTGCCGAAGTCCCTAAATTCCAAAATTCCGATGTTCCGAAGTTGCCGAAGTGTCGAAGTGTCAAAGTGCCTAAGTGTCGAAGTGCCAAACTGAACCAAAGTGCCGAAGTCCGGAAGTTCCAAAGTTCTGAATTGCCTAAGTCCCAAATTTCGGAATGCCAAACTGAACCAAAACTTTTCCCCATGCACATCCCTACTACACACCACAGTGGAGAGTCCATGCCAGTGGTGGTAAGCTAGACTATGCCTCTGCCTTTTCAAAATTCTTTCCAGCATGTCTTAAGTAAAGTTACTCTTTGTGCAAAACTTACTGTCATAGACGGTGTGTGGGAATCCCTATGTTCTCTTTTTCCTGCCTCAAGAGTTGGCTAGCCCTCACACTAGGATGGAAATGTCTGGCAATCATGCTGCAGATGAACATAGACATGGTGGAGAGTGTACAGTAGGTGTAGAAATAGTGGCCTGCTGCCTCTGCTCTCTAGACTCTCCTATTGTAATTATTCTTTATCATAGTCGATTTCCTCCTGGGATAGACTTAATCAAATATATAGAATTTTCCTCACTTAAAGCCCTCATTTTTTGCTTTATTTTAATCTCCACCATCCTCCCCTATACTTGCTATAAATAATAATAATAATAATGTGTTTAACCACTGTACTTTTGGGTGTTGTCTGATTTCCAAGTGCATCCTGGGGATGTTGCTTTTACTCAGTTTGATTGTGCTCAATTTTTCTGTCATGGAGGGATGAGGGGCTGGTCAGCCTTGCCGTGAGTTGAACCTATGACCCCCAGGGGCTGTATAGATTCTACTGGTGAAGCATTGGCCCACTGAGCTACATAACCATTTTGTTTTGTCTTGTTTTCATATTATTGCATAATAACGTTTTTTTTTATTGTATTGTAATGCTTATTTTTACATTTTATTAAATCATTATTATTTTGTATATTATTTATAATACATTGTGTCTGTAAAGTGTTTATTTTAAATGCATTATCTTCTAATTGCCTAGCTGATCACATGATTCATGATGGCATTTGACTTCTGACAAAGCCTTTTTGTGGTGAAACACGTTAAGAGTTATTTTACTACTTTGTATTGCTTTTCTCATTTTCTTATTTTATGTACTAGTGTATTACATAAAGTAGTTATTTGCTAACCTTGGTGGACTTCACTCTGACCTTCTGTGGAGCTTGGGACCACATATTCCTTTGGTGGGGAAAATATCACCTGAGTACTGTGGATTGAACAAAACCAAATATTTTATCTCTATTTTTGAGTACCTCTCCTAATTTTATTCTTTTATTTACAACAACAGTGAGCACAATATTTTTTATTCTTGTTTTTATATATTAACTACCAACCTACTAATAAACCTGTGAGACCCCATGATGATGAAAGAAAGCACTTTAAATAAGACACAGAATATCCCTAGGTGGAGATTGTCCCGCCCAAGCGCATTCAGACAGAACTACCGTTGCTCTACAAACTGTAAGTGCAATTCTATTTGTTATATTCTTATTTTACACAAGATATACTACACTATATACTACTGAATTTTTCAGTTTTTACATATCCCACTACTTCTGAGACTACCTCAAAAAATACGTCAAGGCTCTACACCCTCTACTTATTTGATAGACTTAAACACATGTCTGGAGTGGTGGTGGAAGAGATATCATCATTAAATTCCTCACCACCTGTCATACCTCCTCCCGGGCCACGCTGCTCCGGTCCTGTGCAGACACCCGGCCGACTTTACGCGTAAGCTATTACTAGCTAGGGGGCGTGTGCCTTGTCTCCAGCTTCTTAAAGGGGAGAACCATTTTTTACCTTTGAACTGGCACTCTATTTATATCTATTTAATTACTGCCCTATTAGGTTCTCTAGCCTATCAGTGCTCACTTAGCCCTATATTACCTCCCTCTTTCATCACTTCCTTGCCCTGTTGTGGTCTCTTGTAGCCCGAGAGTGCGTTCTGTTGGTTTGTCTTTTCTGGTATCTGACTTTGGCTTGTTTCCTGGTTATCCATACTTCTGGCACCCTTGGCTTTGTTATTTGATTTTTCTTCCGTCTCCTATCCTGACCTTGGCCCGTCTGACCATTCTGTTCTCATCTCTCTAGTTTCACACATTAAGTCTGGCCTTTCGAAGGACTGGTAATACGTCTGGCTTTGTGTACCTTTTGATCCCCTTAGTTTGCGTGTTGGGTAGGTTAACCTTGACACCACCACCACCACCAAGACCAGACATAGAGGACACAACTTGGGTACCATGCTCTACCTCTTTAGTTAAGAGTGCCACTGATGGCACTGACAAAGTCTCTGCTAAGCTCTCCATTAGATGCCTATTAACAGGGGGCTACAAGGGAGTAACACAAGCTAGGTGTTGAATTAGTCTTTATGGATATTTTCCTAATCCTACCATCCTGAGGGTGATTAATACTAATAGCTTTGATGGCAGCAGCATTTGAGGAGGTGGCAGCAGTCCTCATTGCCCTCGAAGAGGTTTCAGACTCTAGGAGGCCATGGCACTACTGTTGATGGTGTGAAGCTAATGCGCATGCACGGCATCAATGTTTAGCTGCACCAATCAGATGGGCTTTCTGATACCATTTGATAGACACAGCAGACTTTTACTCAGTTACTAGAGGCATTTAAAGGACCACTCTAGGCACCCAGACCACTTCAGCTTAATGAAGTGGTCTGGGGTCCAGGTCCAGCTAGGGTTAACCCATTTTTAAATAAACATAGCAGTTTCAGAGAAACTGCTATGTTTATTAATGGGTTAAGCCTTCCCCCAAAGCCTCTAGTGGCTGTCTCATTGACAGCCACTAGAGGCGCTTGCGTGCTTCTCACTGTGATTTTCACAGTGAGAGCACGCCAGCGTCCATAGGAAAGCATTGTAAATGCTTTCCTATGCGACGGGCTGAATGCGCGCGCAGCTCTTGCCGCGCGTCATTCAGCCGCGGGCGGACGGAGGAGGATCGGGAGGAGAGCTCTCCGCCCAGCGCTGGAAAAAGGTAAGTTTAAACCCCTTTCCCCCTTCCAGAGCCGGGCGGGAGGGGGACCCTGAGGGTGGGGGCACCCTCGGGGCACTATAGTGCCAGGAAAACGAGTATGTTTTCCTGGCACTATAGTGGTCCTTTAATCCCTGCAATGAAAACAGTGCAGTTCTGTGGAAGTGCAAGTTTGCAGCTGCAGGGTTAAAACTGGGCACCCAGAACACTTTATTGAATTGAAGTGATCCGGGTGTCTATAGTGTCCAATCAATACTGTATACATATTAATATAGACAATATTTATTTTGCTGTTTAGGCAACCTTTAAAGGAGCAAGGTCAATAAAAAGAGTGGACATGAAAAAGGGGTGATTAATTCAGTAATACCCATATTAAATAAAATATGTTCTCCCATAATGATTTTTTTTTAAAATGATGATTAATACATTTTGGAGTGTCCCTTTAAATGGCTTGCTGTTATCCTCCAACTTTCTTTGCTACATTGTCATTTAAAACATATTACCTGCATTTCTGACCAATGTATAACAATGTCTGGCTTGGTATGGTATTTATTTAAGTGCATTGTGCAGACCATAAGACAAAATCTATAAATAACACTTAGCTACATAGTACTAACCCACAAACTGTGCTGTAAGTGTTCTAACAAAACACTGCTTTAGGAAGTTTATAAAATCACTGAAAACTATTTCACACACACAGACTTTTTTTTCCCTCCTGGCTCTCAATCTCTTTGTAACTATGGGGTCTGGAAACATTTGCACCATGTAATCTAAGTGGTTTCCCTACTGCAAGAGGGGAAGGGAAACTCTGCTTGTGCCTTGGGCCATGTGGAGTTCATGATTAATTACTGCATGGCTCCTACATAGGTTTTCATCATGTGGGAATGCTACATAGATAGTCATTGCAGGACTCACAGAAGACCTCAGAGACTTTAAACATCACTGGGAGCGGTCCATGGCGTGGGCGGGGCTGGAGGCATGGCATGGACCCAATCCCATCAAAGTATCTGCTACACGGGGGCGGAGCTAGCACACTATGAAGAAAATGAGTTTTGGGCTGAGGATACAATGTATCCCTAAAGTTCCAAAACTTATCTAATGAAGCCAGTGAGTGACTGCAAGCTTCAAGCCCTCAGCCAGAGGAAACATTGAGTGGAGCTAACTCACACCACATTACCAACAAAGGAGGCTGCATCTGGGAAACTTGTCTGCAGGAATAATGAAGTGGGAAAAAGTTTGCAAAGCCCTCAGCCTGGGTCACATCTGGAGCATGGTACTCGAATGGCTTGTGCTCACCGGACTCATTGAGGCTTATAATATAGAGGAATCTGATTCTTTGCTGTTTAGGGGTCCCAATGGCTCACTGTTTGGATATTCAGTTGTGCTGCACAGCTATAACGACGACACATGGTAAGCTTATTTTTGTTGTACTTTGCCATAGACTGCAACTCCTAGCTATCTCAGCCATAGACTGCCACTCCTAGCTATTTCAGCCACCTTCACTGTGTGTTTTACTTTGCCATAGACTGCAACGCCTATCTGTCTCAGCCATCTTTTCTAATGTATTTTGCCATAGACTGCAACTCCTAGCTATCTCAGCCATAGACTGCAACTCCTAGCTATCTCAGCCACCTTCACTAATGTATGTTTTACTTTTGCCATATACTACAGCTCCTAGCTATCTCAGCCATCTTTTCTAATGTATTTTGCCAAAGATTGCCACTCCTAGCTACCTCAGCCACCTTTGTTAATGTATGCTGTACTTTGCCATAGACTGAAACTCCTAGCTATCTCAGCCATGGACTGGAACCTCTAGCTATCTCAGCCACCTTTGCTAATGTATCTGAAAGCCAAAAAAAAAAAAATCTCCACGGGGTGATGATGGGTGGGAAACCTCTACTTCCCCAGCTGCCTTAGAAAAGGTCAAGAATTAAAGTACTAAATGTTTTCCATCCAAACTTGTATTATTTACATAGCAGTAAAGGGATGCAGATACTTGTGAAATATTTATGTAGGTGAGCATATTTTAATACATCCCTTCAGTATACATGTTCAATAGAAATCCATAAAGAAGATAAGGTTTGGTTGAGCTAGCTATTGGCAAATCTCACTCATTTTTAGAGGTATGCAAATCATGGGTTCATCAAAGGTCTGGGCTCACACACTAATAGTGAATACTGGGTTTATACAGTAACTGAAGTGCAGATATCAAATTGCAATAACTGGGTCAACAATGTCAAGTTGGATAATTTTTTTAACTCAGCTATTACAGTCTGTTTAATTAGTTTAACCCCTAATACACTATAGTTTGGCCAATAAAACACTTAAATATGAGGCAAAGCGCTATATCTGGCATATCACCATGGAACTTGAGAGATTGTTCTTGGTGACTAAATTTGCTTTTAGTCACTTCAATTAAATGACCCTAGTTCTTCTTTATCTATAAATATTTTTTAATGTATAAAGTTGCTCTTGGGGATCTTTGACATTCCTTTTTCTTAATTTTAGATTTAACTTAATTTCCTGTCCTGACAGCTATAATTTGTTGTAATTATACTGTGTATAAAAAGATGCTGACTGTTTCTTACTGAATTCTACTTACAGGATTATAGCCGGTGCTCCCAAAACTGACTGGTCTCTCAAAGTTCGTGTTAATAGCCCGGGTGCAATTTTTAAATGCAAAATTGGAAATAATCCAAATGGCACGTGTGACCTTATGGAAATGGGTGAGTTTAGGATATGGGTGGAGATATATACATGCATGGAAGTTGAATTTGACCCGAAATTCCTGCCTTACTTTATAATGTTAAGAGATATATGCTGTTAGCTACAGATGTAACAGAGGTTTCCTTTACCGGATGTGAATTTCCCTTTAATGATTGATGACACCAGGTATGTCAAGAAATAAATGGGTTTTACCCACAGACCTACAGAAAGCTAAATACAGCAGAGTTGATTGTGACAAGTAGATGCATAGTGGATGAAGGCATTTGTCTTAAAAACCACATCTTTGCATACACCTCTACTTCCGTGTCAAAGGAATAGTCTTAAAACCATAACCACTGCAGCACTCTGTAGTTGTTATAGTGTCAGGAGTCAACTGGCCCTATCCCCTGGATAAGACTCAAATTGTTTTTGAACAGTTTGACACCTAAATGGATTCCTAGTCTCAATCTGGCTTCCCCTTCTGGTACTGGTATTTGGTAATGAGGAATTCCCTATTCCGCAATAGTGAAGTCAAGTCCACCCATCCTTGTCTGAGAGAGATGTCCAAATAGGGACAACACATTTCACCTTGCTGCTTTCAGCCAAATCGCAGAATGTCTGAGACTGAGAGGGGTATTCTTTTGAAATAAATACACAGAAAAGCTCTGCGTTGCTACTCTTGTTTGACAACAATGGCTATAGTATTCATCTGCACAAATGTGTAAACATACATGTAAATAACAGAGGTTCATTAGTAATGTCCACTGCAATGGACATTAAAGGACCTCTGAATGAACCAAACTACTTTATTGAAATGAAGTGTTCTGAGTACAGTGGTCCTTTAGCAAAACATTGTCATTTATTAGATACAGCAATGTTATGAATGCAGAGCTAACACACCTCTAGTGGTTGTCTTCCTGACGGACACTGGGGGAGCTTCACCTGTGAGAACAGAGTCGGTCTTGGTTCTCAATCAAATGCTGCTCCTAAAGTGTGTTTGATTGCCACAGTGCAGCAATTTGCCATACATGCGCGCTAGCTTTCATTTGCTTACCTTGATGATCTCAGCCAAGAAGACAGTATGACTGTGTCGAGACCAGCACTGCATAAAACTCGCCTTCTAAATCCTGATGGGGACGGGGTGGCACCAAAATAGTAGTAAAGTAGCCCAGGACCCTGGTGTATAGGGTTCTGGGGGAACTAGCTAAGTTTCAAACCGTTCAAAAAGTGACTTATCGTGGGATGGCACCAGGGGACTCCTGGCACATTAACCAATACAATGTCACCCGACAACATGACAACCATTTTTTTCTGAAATGTATTTAGTGATTTTCATCCTATACAGTCCAAACTGAATGTGTGTCTTACAATAGAAGAAAATAAACGATAAGACAAAGTATCATTGCTCAAATTCTTTTATCTGAGAGTGGGATTGTAAGATATGTTAATGGTTAGTATCTATTCATCATATCCGCTAACTTGAAGGACACAAATATAGATTTAATAGTTATCTACAAAATTACAGTTAAGATTGCAAACTGGAAGGCAAATGGCTCAATTCATTCTCTGATGGCACAGAGAAAGGGCACCCCCCCCCGCCCCCAAACTTGTTACTCTCTACTTAATTAAAACATGCAATTTTAAGTCCTGCCCTCAAATTCCCACTACTCCTGAGTGGTAGCAATGACTATATTAAACATCAGCACCGATACATACAATGAAAACCAAAGAAAAAGTTAGTTGCACATTATCCCAAATCCCTTTGCACAGTTTTTTTTTAGTTTTTATTGTATGTATTGGGGCTGATGTGTACTTTAGTCATTGCTGCCGCCCAGGAGTAGTGGGAGTTTGAGCGCAGGGCTTAATTTTGTATGTTTGTGTTTGCTTCTGTATTACACAGCCTTGTTACAGTGCTGCTGCCCACCCCATGTGTTCCATATTAAGGGTTAATAAGTGTGTAGGAATTTAGAAAAAATACCCCTCTCTGTCTCACAAGCAATTTTGCCTTTTAACTTAAAGAAACAAGGTGAATTGTTAGTGAAGGGCTCACCTAAGAGGTTTTGCCTTGACATGGCAGGTGAGCTTACACATTGCTATTGGAGTATCTACCTGGTTAACCTAATCAGATGCCTTTCCCTGTTCAAATCCAACTGCATCTTCAATCCTCACAAAAGAGTAGAATAGAAACGGCAGATATAATTATAATAGACACATGTTCTCTTTTCACACACTTATCAGCAGTCCTTACAATGCCAATAGTTTTTTATTTTGTTTTGTTATTTTACAACAAAAACTAGGGGGCAACACACCTGTCTCTCTGGACCAATCTCCACTGGCATTGCTAACTACTGAGTAAAAGGGACACTATAGTCACCTGAACAACTTTAGCTTAATGAAGCAGTTTTGGTGTATAGAGCATGCCCCTGCAGCCTCACTGCTCAATCCTCTGCCATTTAGGAGTTAAATCCCTTTGTTTATGAACCCTAGTCACACCTCCCTGCATGTGACTTGCACAGCCTTCCATAAACACTTCCTGTAAAGAGAGCCTTATTTAGGCTTTCTTTATTGCAAGTTCTGTTTAATTAAGATTTTCTTATCCCCTGCTATGTTAATAGCTTGCTAGACCCTGCAAGAGCCTCCTGTATGTGATTAAAGTTCAATTTAGAGATTGAGATACAATTATTTAAGGAAAATTACATCTGTTTGAAAGTGAAACCAGTTTCTTTTCAAGCAGGCTCTGTCAATCATAGCCAGGGGAGGTGTGGCTAGGGCTGCATAAACAGAAACAAAGTGACAACTCCTAAATGACAGTGAATTGAGCAGTGAAATTGCAGGGGAATGATCTAAAACTGCTTTATTTAGCTAAAGTAATTTAGGTGACTATAGTGTTCCCACAAGGTGGTGCGATAGCTTTCATTACGGTGGGGAATCTGTTGATCCCGGTGTGGCTACTCTGGGGACAAATGGATTTACCTGGTCAACTGACCATGAAGGATGTTGCGGTATGGAGAATGGACCCTTTAGGTAATCCCAGCTCCCGTAGTAGGTGATGCGCCTCGGAGAGGTGAGTGGGTCTTGCCTCCCTTTTCAACTAGGAGCCTGTGTATGCCCCATTTGTAAGGCACATTGTGTTCCCGTAAGTGCTGGGTGAGTTGGCAGAGAGATTGCCTCCAGACAATGGTGTGGCAGGATATATCCCTGAAGAAGGTTAATCTGTGGCTTTCAAATGCTGTGGTAGGGGAGCCTCTTGTCAACGCCAGAATGGTACCTCTGTCATAGTCCCAAACAAATTTAACCAGAATGTCTCTAGATGTCATGAGGGGGCACTGGGGGCCTTAGGCAATCAAAAGCAATGGTCCATTGTGACCTGTTTTACCTGTTTTGGGGGCAGCAATGTGGAAAAGAGTCGTCAAATATAATGGGTAGTTCTTCAGTGGTTATGTTTTCAAGGACCCCCTTGATTCTCACATTTCTCAACTTAATCTTGTCTTTCAGGTTAGCCATTCGATTGAGCATGTCAGTGTTGCTCTTTTGTAGTGTGCTGAGGGCAGCATCTGTGGCTGTTTGTGCCACTTTCGTAGTGCCCATGTCGTCCTCTATGGTGACAAGCCTGCCAGTGAGTGTGGCCACCTCCTCCCTCACCCCTGCCACTTCTGCTTGAAACATTGCCCGTATTTCATAGAGCAGGGCCTTAATATCTGCCTTAGTCAAGGGGGCAGTGTTTCCCCTCACAGGGGGCTCCTGGGTGACAGATGGTACCTTTTGAAAAGGTGGATAGCTGTTCCAGCAGGATTTTCTCATCTGAGGGGGTAGAGGCCGGTGCCATCTTTGTTGGTGCGGGCCTAGCAGGCTGGCACAGGATCATTCCGATATCCCGGGTTCCTGGGCTCTGATCAGCCTGAGTTTTTTTGGAGTGCTGCCCCATCGGCTGCGGAGCAGGTAAGTCCGCAATCTGGGAACTGACTGCAGGTTATTAATGTTGGTAATCGCTACTTTCTAGCCGGTCTGCCTGGAGCTCCTGCTGCATGCATCCGACTAGTGAGGCAGCTGGCTCTGCCCCCAGTGAATTCCACATTTAAGTCCCAAGTAGTTGAATGGAAAGCATAGCTGAATTAGATCATTTTTCTTTTTGGTTACTTTGACCTTAGATGTGAAATTTACTTTGAATCCACCTTGAATTCTCACTTTAGTAAATAACGTAATTTCTAAACCCTTACCAGCTACTTATAAACACCACTTTGCCTGCAGCCTTATTAGAAAAGTATATGCAAACCTAAAGTTAACTAGGCTCAGTAGATGTCATTTATTACTATATGGTACTCAAAATGTTTATGTCAATGTAACTAGAAAAATGAAGTTTTAGGCATTGCTATCTACCCTGAATCGGATACATTTATGTTCTGGACAGTGGACAGTGTTTTTTAACAAGTGTGGTTTGCCACAAACCTCCTCAAAGTATTTCTGGCTCACTGATTGAAAACCATTCTAGAATGTTTATATATCCATTCTAATAACTGTCGTTCTGTAGGTAAAGATGTTTAAAGAGTTATAGGCTGGTGAAGCCGTTTTATTCTTGATTTTCCCAATACAGAAATGTATTCAGGTTAAACTTAGGGTACACCATTCTTTAACTTGTGTTTTTATTATACAGAAGGTTATATTTCACCTCCACTCCCCTCCCCACAGCATTTTCTTGTAAAAGTTTCACTTCCTTTATGTGTGAAATGTAGATGTTTAATTAAATGCCAACAGGTCTAAAAATCTTTTATTTTAGTTTTTCATTCGTAAAACATGCTTTATATTGACAGGTAAAAAAAAATGCCCGATCTAGTTAGCCATTTAGCCATTGGCATGTAATAGAAAGTTCATTCCAAACTCTGTAACAATGTTAGCGCATTGCACAGTTCATGGTGCAGAGAGGGACTTGTCACTGCACCCAGGGACACTCTGCACCTACAGCTGTAAGTGCCATTTCTGTGTGTGATCTTAAATGAGGACATTTTACTTTGTTCAAGTTGTGTTTATGGTGTGCGAGTTCCGACTTTCCTGCTAAGTACTAACCACAGCTGCTTTCATGCGTGGCCATGGACTTAAAGGAATTCTATGCGCCAATCAATTAACAAAATTGCGACATTCCAAATATATATTATTTAATACAAACTAACAGTATTTCAAGAGTAAGCTCTGTCGCAATGACAAAAACATAATTCATTGTCCCATTTTACAATCAAGTACACAATCGAGCTGCTGCATGCCCTCGTAGAAGTGATAAGCTTTCTTTCATTAAATTAGCATCAATGAAGCTACACACAAGCTAACAGAACCCACTCTATGATACTATTGCCTTGCACAGATACCTTAATTCCTGGCTTTTATGAATGAGGCTATTTGTTGCCAGGTCTGACACACTTGGAACTGTTTAGAAAGACCACAGGTTCAGTGTTTGCTTTTCAAGTGACGTGGAAAATGGTTGATCAACTTATTTTTTTTGGTTGCTGGTTTTTGGTTGTTAGAGATATTTCTACAGAAAGCGATACTGTTTTCTCTTCCTGCAGTAAACGGCCATGTGACTGCCCTTAAATCTTTTTCTTTGTTTCAACACATCCCTGTAAGCAGAGAATGGTCTGTAATTAACCTGAGCATTTACCATAACAGAGAGCCTTTACGATGCTTAATGACTACATACTCTTTCTTTACACCAAACTAGGTTTTGTTTTCTGGATTTAATTTCCTGTACATAAAAACGGGGTTCTCTTTTTCTCCTGACCTAAGATCAGATGCATTCCACAAAGTATATTATACAAAAAAAATGTAAGACTAATTTTAGCCTTACTCGTATTCTAAATAAAACAAAGTCTAATCTTCAAGTCCCAGCATAAAATCTCAGCAACTGGGGAAGTGTGGGAAGTGCAATTGACCTGTCAATGCAGTATTTCTCCCCACCATAACTTTCTTGGTTTGTGCTTCACAACTAACGCCAAGCCTCAATAGCCAGTAACCAACCTCATGCTGATGAGTTGAATTAACAAAGAAACAGCTGTCCATGAGTGGTTCACTAGCTTTCATCTCTTCCTGAGTTGTGTTTCAAATGTGTTGTGTACAGCAGACACAAACTCCAAGGAATTCATGTTTAAAATGGAAAGAGGCAAAAAGGTGATTCTTTATTGAATAATTTGCGTATGCCTACCCAGAATCCCTTGCAGTAGTAACATCACTGCAAAGTTGAGATTTCTGTGGGAAAAGCAAGTCGTATGGCTTAACTTGGGTGGGCAGATCTATGTTTATTTAGTAAGGACTGTCAATACATCGCTAAAGACAAAAACAAAATGTGCATGAAAATAATCACTCGGGAGTTTAAGTATGAGTTGCTTATTTTTCTATTAAACCATTTACACATAAACAGCTGATTGCAAGTATCCACTCACTTTATAATAAGTGATCTTTCATCATACTGCTCGCTTCCTTTTACACCATGTCCACTTCTCTTGGAATTCCTTCTTCCTCAAACCAAACTAGCGGCCTGTTCTTCCTTTTCTCTTCGGTTGTATCTCATTTCTTGATATAAGGCCCAATGATCATTGACAATTTGACTGAAATAGAAGCCATGTGTATTATATGTCTGAGATGAACCTCAAAACATCTGTGAATGTCAGAGCGTGGTTTCCTCAGCTGATTCTTCAAGTATTTTGCATTCAGTTGTACATGAAGCAGAGCTGTCAGCGTTTAACCGAAAACTGTGATAAAATAAACATCACTTCAATAGATATTCCTCAAAGCAAATGTTGAAATCCACACTTTTATATCATGGGGAAAAAAGACACTCTGAAGTGCGCTATGTGTTTGAAGTGTTCCTTTAAATGTTTTTTTTTTCTTTCTAAAAACTTTATCTATAGACCTACTATAAATATACAAGGGACAAAAAATGATACAATGGTTATGAGATGAATTGAAGAAATAGGAAGAAAAGAGAATTAGATATTTGGGGGGGGGGAGGGGGAAACAATTCATCATGGGCCAAGCAGTAGAAAATAAAATAAAAAAGGGTTTGTGGTACACCAATTATCACGTGGACACTGTACTAAACCTGTGATTTATATATTTGTTTATTTATAAAATATTTTACCAGGAAAGATACATTGAGATTTCTCTTGTTTTCAAGCTTGCCTTGGGTCCACAAAACATTGCATTGTAACAATAGGATACAATATTATAAAAAATACAATATACAAACTATAAATATTTATATATACAGACGTACATATATAAATTTAATTTCCTGTTTATCAAACGATAGCAGACACATCTTATGATATATCCTTTCACGATTGTTCATTTTGGCATCTACATGGCACCAATTTATTCTGCAGCACTTTACAATATTATAAAAAGTGGGAAATGTAACAATAAATTAGACAATTGTAAAATAGGTTGATGAGTACCCGGCTCCAACGAGCTTCTATAATATATCATCAATTGATTTCCTCTGCTTTTTGAAATGAAGAGGATGGAGAGATGTTCTAAGGCTCTCTCATCATCAAAACTTTTGCAAATATGCAAAGTTAATATCATGCTTATAGTGTTACAGTGACGCTTTGACAGTTGTGCTGCTGAAATGATCTATTTTTAAAATATACTCAATACACAAAAAAAAAGGAATCTGCGCATAAATACAAAACAGAGAATTGTATGTGTGCACTGATTAATTTTTGTGTACATGTAGCTGGTGGGTTCTGACGGTATTATATATAGTGCCAGTTAAGTAATGAAATTCACAAGAGGCAGTATTGTGAAATCTGAGAACCCGTAAAAGCTGTTGTAACTTTGGAAATTTTAAAAGGTAAACATTTTATTAGTGTTTGCAATTTTCTTCCATTTTCCAACAAAAGAAAACAGGAAGTAATTCCACTAAATCTAAAATACTGGAAACGGCTTTCACAGCAACTACGGCACATGCGCAACTGTGAACTGTTCTACTGAGACAATGCCCCGGAGTGTATGAGACTACATGTTCATCTAATGATTCAGTGGAAGAGGTCACTGCATTTATACAATGTTGCACTGGCATTGGAACTAGTTTGTCACCCTCCTAGGGAAGAATGTCCCTGCATGGGGACGCACTATGTGCTCGCTATGCTATGCAGGACTAATCAGATAAATAGGTGAGAAGAATGTGGTGGGTTGCCACAACAAATTGATTTCTGAAGTTATATATTTATTTCATTTACATTAACCACAAGCATGAAACTCTCATGAAAGGTTTAGTTCTGACAATACGGCTGCAGCAAACAAACGTATGAGTGGCTTAGGTGTGATAATAAAAGGCGAGGAGGGTCTTCTGCAAACCCTGTCTGTATGTTTTACATCCTGCTAAGGAAATGTCTTTAAATATTTATCTTACAGCGTTTCTACATCAGATTTAACATTTCCATTGAGATAACTCGTATCTCAGTTTCTTATCCCATACACTGACTGCTGACGAAATCCTTGGTGATACAATGAAATCTACACATAAAGTAGTTCAGAGGAAGCGGCTCAGTCACCCATACTGTGAAAGCAAATGTATCCTCTTAAAGGGAAACTATAGTGCTAGGTAAACAAACCTAGTGCCCCCTTCCGTTGCGCTCCCCCACCCGTGGTGATATCACTTGCCTGATTCTGATGTCACTCGGTGCTGATTCAGGCTCCACCTCTGCTCCTCCTGTGCTGACGTCAGCCGGCAAGGGGGGGGCTTATGCGCAAGCGGGGCTATCACCGCAATCGCATGATGACTTTCCCCATAGTAAAGCATTGTATAATACTTTCCTATGGAGTTTTGGGTGATGCTCGATGTCCTCAACCACCCAGAAGTCCATCCATAGACAGCCACTAGAGGTAGAGCTAATCCTGCAATGTAATTACTGCAGTTTACATTACAATTTCCACTTTAAGGGCCTGGGACACTGCACCCAGACCACTTTAATAAGCTGAAGTGGTCTGGGTGCCTATAGTTGCTTTTAAGAACCAATAATTATCTATGCAGTCAAAACCTCTTTAAAGATCCTGATGTCAAAATGGGTTTGGTGCACTCACCTATGATGGCAGACCGTGCAGACCTAGAAATGATAAATAGTGCATGCCAAGCTGGCAAAAGGTCTCCAGGTGCAAGCTTGCAAAATGTAGAATTTGGTCCTTCAAGGAGAATTGTAATTTATACTATTGAATAACACATTTTTAATAAAAATCATCTATAATTTACCCATTTTATGAGATGTTCTGTTTTCGTTTTAAATGTATATCGAATATTTAGCAAATTGCATAGTAATCCAGATCAGACTAGGCAAATTAAGAGGGGAAATAAAAAAAACATTGTTTTGTTTCTCTTCTCTGTATGTTTTCTATATAATGAAGGCCAGTTTCAAAGGGCAGAGCTTACAACAATGTTTGACAGGGAGGCGCCCATTTACTGTGTCCCTTTAAGAAAGTAACTTGACCAATAAGATTATACTTCAACTCATTTAAATTTGTGTAAAATATTCCATACTCTTTAAAAAGCATAGCATTTTATTCCCAAAAGTAATTTGAGATAACACTTTTTTCCCCACTTGGAATTAATAGAAAAGATTGTTCATTATAACCGTAACATAATTATTTTAATTTTAAAAACTACAAACTATCTATACATTAATTTATTATTATTTAATATATTAATGTATCTGAAGTGTCTACATAGTAAAGTAAACCTTGTTGCCATTTTTATGATTGAAAATGATGTGTCAGTTTTCCTTACATCAATTTATGGTAATCCGAGCATCTGAAAAAAATCTTAAATTATTAAAGGAACACTATAGTCACCTAAATTACTTTAGCTAAATAAAGCAGTTTTAGTGTATAGATCATTCCCCTGCAATTTCACTGCTTAATTCACTGCCATTTAGGAGTTAAATCACTTTGTTTCTGTTTATGCAGCCCTAACCACACCTCCCCTGGCTATGATTGACAGAGCCTGCATGAAAAATAAGTTTAATCACATACAGGAGGCTCTTGCAGGGTCTAGCAAGCTATTAACATAGCAGGGGATAAGAAAATCTTAATTAAACAGAACTTGCAATAAAGAAAGCCTAAATAGGGCTCTCTTTACAGGAAGTGTTTATGGAAGGCTGTGTAGTCTCATGCAGGGAGGTGTGACTAGGGTTCATAAACAAAGGGATTTAACTCCTAAATAACAGAGGATTGAGTAGTGAGGCTGCAGGGGCATGTTCTATACACCAAAACTGCTTCATTAAGCTAAAGTTGTTCAGGTGACTATAGTGTCCCTTTAACAAATGTGTGCCGATGCCTTTCTCGCTCCTATGCTTCAGACAGTAATAAATATCAGTAATTGGCCAAAAGCTTGTTGAACATCTACCCAATTATTTTGGCAAACCGTCAATATTCCTTGTGTTAATTACAGACCCAATCTCATACATAAATCTTGGGATCATAAATAAAAGACAGTCATAAAAGTCAGACTTGTAAAATAAGTGCCTCTCTGAAAATAATAGCCTCTCTTAATTACAGTGACTGTCACACATCCTGCTGGGCTGACAAACAGAGTAAAAAAACAACAAAAAAATGTGATAAGCAGCTACATCCCTGTTTTTAAAATACCTTCTGCCGGAAACTTTGTGAATATCAAAGGTTCATTGAGTAACCCATCCCCATACTTGTTACAGTCTTCTACATTTGTGGTTTCACTTTATAAGTAAATTTATGTGTTTATGTCTTTACCCACTATTTCCTAACGTCATCTTCTGTTTATTTAATGTCCGTTAAGACTAAATTCTCAAATCAAACTGTATATTTTTCCCATGTCTGCTAATCTGACCTCCAGATTTTTGTTTGCTTTTTGTGAGAGAGCTGTAGAGTTCCTAGGTGGCTGAAAAGCAGACCTTGACACACAGTGTCATTCTTGAATCCATGACTGAAGCTACTTGCACATGTTAGCTTCTATTAATTTGGCAAGAAGCTTAATATTGTTTTGGGTGCTTTTACAAACAAAACCGTGTGCGTGTGAGGCAGCCATACAGCTCTCTAATAGACAGCCGCGGAAGAGCCCGTGCAAGACATTTGGGAGAAGCATGATGTGTCCGTTTTCTATGCATGCATTCTCTTTGAGAGAAGCATTGAATCCACTTTGGAGGTGACTCCCCTCACAGCACTCCCAGAGACCACAGGAGTACTAAATGAACGCATTGTACTAAATGAACGTTTGGCCACCTCATGCAATGCATGAGGACATCAAAATGTGACTAATCAAGTTCTACTCTGTTGTCAACACAGAAGCTCCATCAAAACATGACATGGTGAAAGTACCAAGACCACTTCATTAAGATAACGTGGTCTTCGTGCTTAGAGTGTCTCCTTAAAGTGCCATTAGGATGTAAGCTCTGTGCGATGGTCCGGTTGGGAAGATAGAAATATCTCCTAAAGCTAGACTGTATTTCCCAGTCACATTGGACTGAGCCCGTGACTAATAGAGACTGATTTCTTCTTCGTCTGGCAATGCTGGGACTGGGGGGATGTGACTTTGTATCACTTTCTCCTGGCACACACAGAATTATAAAGTGGAGAGAAATGACCTGATTGTCTGGACCAGTCACAGCCCATGGAAGCTAACCTCCTGCATCTAGAAAGAATGGAAACAGAATAAGTTAATGTGCAATAATTGTGTGTGTTTGTATAACTGTATGTGGCTGTGTACGTCTGAGTGTGTAGCATTGTGTATTGTGAGTTTCTGTGAATGCATGTCTCTGTGTTTGCTATATATCTGTGTGTGTCTCAGAGTGTATCTATTTGTGCTTATGTCAGGGAATGGTTAAAGGTCTCTGGATTTGTAACTCTGCAAGCCTGAGTATGGTGTTTTATTTAATTATTGATTTATGTATTTATGTATACATTTATTTGTTATGTTTTTAGAAAACGGTGGAGTCCATGCCAGCCAGAAATGCCTCTTTAAACTTGAACGTACAGTATGATTCCAGAAATGCACAGGGAATATTGTGCATGCTTTAATACAAATCAAGGGATCACACCGTCACAGAAATAATATATCAGATGCTGACTATAAAATATAAATTAAATGAAAGTAGGCTATGGGGCAATGTGTTCATTATATGGATCAGATTGTGGCCTGCATTGTACGGGTTCCCTTTTAAATGAAAACTGCCCAACAGTAATCTGGTTTTCCTAGGAAAAATATGCATCCTGTTGTGGTTTCAGTTAAAGCGTTAACGTCCCTGTAAAAAAGTAATAAATATAAACATCTTGACATGGTACTAGTGATTTATTATTGCTACATGAATAATTTCACAATGTGATCCAGGTCCAGAATCATGTTACGGTATTTAAAGTAGTTGGCCAAAATGAGGAAACCTTGGTGCTTCCCTAATAGATTTTTTTGTAGGAGGAATGTATCTTAGCTTCTCGTAATAATAGTTCTTAACTAACCATGTGCTCTCTTTGTCCATCTGTGCTGGCAAAACTATGTTGACTATTTATTATTTAATCTTTATCTGGTAAGTGCCACCAGAGCTGATTTAACCAGTAAAGTAGACTGTTAAAATTCCTCTGGTACCAAGCACCTGAATATTGGAACTGGCGATCACCTGAGGAATCTGCAGCCTGTTCCCCTGCTTGGACCAGCTATGTCTGTTTTGGTATTTGCAAATACTGTACGTTTCAGCCACATTTCAAAGTCAATATATTGGCGGAGCTCATAAGTTGACCTGCTCAGCCAATGAATGCCATTTAAATATAGATGAAATTTGTAATTGCTAATTCCGTATTGGAACTTTGGAACTAGTAATTGGTTAGCAGGGGACAGGTCACAAGTGCCTTGTGAACCCCCTTGGGTTTTGGTCAAACCATTTGTTAAAAAAACTCTGCCCAAGAGCCGAGGGACAATACCCGAAGCCTAATGGCACCATTACTATTGCATCAGCATTTAGTTGTTATGGTCCTTAGACTGCCTCTTTAATATAAGAGAACCTTATTTTTTATCTTTTTGTTTTGCATTGGTTTTATCAATCAGGGAGTACACAATTTGTCAAATTTAAGGCCATAGCATATTCAATATTCTTATAGTCAGGATAATTCGTTTTTCTTTTTATATAGAAAATGTATTCTGTTTTGGTTGGTACTTGGTACTTGAACAATGACTGTAACCACTTCTTCAAACCAAACCCCAAACCACTAAACCACCAGTACCAATGTCACCATGGAGACTAATAGTGAGGATCTCAAGTAACTGGGTACTAGTGAATAACATTTCTAACCACTTTAATGGTTTTGTATCATTGAAACCTGCTGAGAACACAAAAAAGAAAACTGGCATGTTCACAAAAAAATCCAATATTTCTATGAAATCTTTCTTCATTTAGAAACAACATGACATAATTTATTTAGCGTTCTAGTTTCTAAGCTTGTTCTGGCAAGCGCGTATAACACACATTTATACTTAAAAAGAATTACAATTTAAAAAGAAATACATTTGCTGTCATGTACAATTGCTCCTTTTTAAATGTGATTAGTCACTGTCACAAAGGCTTACCTACTGAGGGTGGCCATCTTGGATCGATTTGCTTGTTTGATCCTCCCCACTAACTAATATTGCTGGCCTTATGGGTATTTAAAATTATTGCCATTTATAAAGCACCAACATATTACACAGCGCGTACAATTAGGGGAGAACATCCATTTTACACAGACCAATAGAAAAGGTAAAGAGGGCCCTATCTGTGAGCTGAGATCTAGTCTTTTATACAAGGTGCTTAGTTAGATAGCCCATGAGGTTACAATCTAAAGGCAAAGGATACACATAGAGGGGTGTGCTACCCCATGCTGCTCCTCCCTGTCAAATGGGTAATGGTGAGGTGGCAAGTTGGGGGAGGACCTGTCACTGCATAGGGAACAAGTTTTACTGTCAACACCAGGCAGCTGATAAGTTGCATGAGGGTTTGGCAATGCTGAAGGACTCAGAGCTGCTGTGAGATCAGAAAAACCTGTCTTCCAAGCTCTGGAAGAGGTCCCAAGAATGGAGTACTGTCTAGCTCAGTTCCCTGTTCCTCTGCTCCCTCCAGCTGTCCGTGGCCTATTAAAGAGAACAGACAGACGGAGTCAGACTGTACTCATCATCCTCCATTAAACTGCCAGGAGAGGGGAGCAAACAAGATGAGGGCCCCAATAAAGGGGTACTATAAGCACCGTAACCCATATAGCTTATTGTAGTTAACTTTCTGTGCCAACATCCTTTTTTTGACTATTTATTTGTTCAAACAAAAATCAGGGCTTTCCCAATACCTAAAACCCAGCAACTAAGTTAGTTTCCTTGAGCATGTGTGACCATATATGATGCTTTTATAAGTCCCATTGAACCGTACAGCTGCTTGCTGCACCTCTATTAGCTGCTTTCTTATACATTTGCTGACGTACAATTTTACACAATTTTACATTTAAATGAATTAAAGCAAGCAAAGGTGAATGGCCATTGCATGTACAGAAATTCCAGCGCACAGCATAAATCGTTTGCCCAATTAAATTTACCTGGGGGTACGGAACATGCTTTGTAGTAAACCACTTGGAAAAAAATGTTAAAAAACATCCTGGAAGTCAGATATGTAAGGAAAGGGGGGATGAATGGAATAATGAACTCAAGGGACAAATGCCCCCTCCTTCCTACGAATTCTTATTCCAGAATTCTCTTTCTTTTGTATCCTGATAAAATGTTTCAGCCCTTGGAGAGATAGATTTAGAAACTATTCCAGTTCTTGCATTTATCTATACAAAGTGAAGAGGAAGAGTTAGAACAGCTGAGGGAAGCTTCTAGTGGGATTAAAGGGAGATCTATAAATATAAATGCTTAGCAGGGTCACTATATTAAGGATGTTGGTTTTGATGCTTAAAGCTACAGTGCTCTTCAATGTTTATTTATATGAGAGTTTGTCACTGTAAGGAACAATTTGGCAACTGTTTTTTTCCCCCCATCTCCCTGGCCTTTTTACTATTTGTTTATTTATTTTCTCAGTAATGACTCCACAGTACTCTTTCAAAACATCTGTTGAGTCTCACTCACTTTGAAAGACTTCAAAGAAATGTTTAGTTATCTTAGAAGGCAATGATTATTTTCCTGAATAAGGATCCATTCATGAAAAAAACAGATTTGTTTTGATTTGTCAGTGAGCTTTGTCATAGTTACAACGTAGAACAGGTCTGTTTTGCTGTGTTATATTGTTTAGTTATTATTAGATTTTTATGCATGTTGTTTACCTTTTCATGGGATTTTAAAATACCATCAATAATTTAAAACGGAATAGACATTTATAGAATGTAATGGGTCAGCAGCGCTCTTAAACCTATTTTGCATAGAACTTGCTCTACTTCATTATATGTCCACTATTATTATTATTATTGGTATTTACATAGCGCCAACATATTCAGCAGCGCTTTACAATATTATGAAAGTGGGGAATTTAACAATAAATGAGATAATTACAAAATGTTACTGGAACAATAGGAAGATGAGGACCTTGCTCAAATGAGTTTACAGTCTAGAGCAGTGTTCTGCAACCTTTTAGCACCTGGAGTCCGGCGAAAAGAGGAGAAATATTTTGCAGACCAGCGTCAGACAGAAATAAAACCCAATGGTGTGTGTGAGGGGTGCAATGGGTGTGTGTGAGGGGTGCAGTTTTTGTGTGTGTATGTTGGGGCAGTGTGTGTGTGTGGCTGTATTATGCTGTATATATTGGGGGGGCAGTTTGCGTATGGAGGGAGTTAATGGGGGTTGAGGGGCAGATAAATAAATATATACTTTTTTAATTTAATTTATATTTTTAATAAAACTAAAATATATAATTTTTAGATTCAGCCCCCCCCCCCCCACTTCTTACCTTTGCTGAGGGAGGGGGGATATTTCCTGCAATCCCTGGTGGTCCGGTGGAGAATCCCTGGTGGTTCTAGTGAGGAGTGAACTCTAGCCTGTAACTCCTGAGGCTAGAGTTCACTTTTGCGAGAACCAGAGCGTTGCCGTGGTAACTGCGGCAACGCTCAGAGCTTGCAAGAGGAGAACCCAGCGGAGCTGCAGGTTAGAGCTCCCCCGGGCAATGAGGTCCTTGTTTTTGTCATAATCACGCGTAAGGGATGGGCCCAGATAAATCCTAATGAGGGTTAATTTGTCTGACTGTCCCATATTTAGTTCTCTATAGCCACATTTGCAATAGTTTGGATTAGTTTATTTATGTTTTTGAAGAAAATAAATTACTACCTGAAAACACCTGGGTATCACTAGAGCAAAAATATCTGTATACATATTTATTTACCTGTTATTTTTCTATTTGGCAGCTTTCTTTGTCTGTACACCTATGGTCTTTGTTAACTCCTGAACAGACTTCATGTATCAGAACTGCAAGAGAATTTTCTGCTCTAATTGAGTGAAATGCCTCAAGTTAGAGCGGAGTTAAAACTAATTTCACTGCAATATGTATCCTCTTAAATGGAACTTCTAGACTAGAGTATTAATTATTTCACTTGATCATGCCCAAAAAAGATAAGTGGATCAGTAGCCATAATTCAGATAAATATAATAAATATACCATGTGCACAGCGCTACGGAATGTGTTGGCGCTATATAAATAATGTGTTAAAACCAAATGCAAACACAAATGACCAGACACTCACCCAATTTCCATTTTGTGTATGTGTGTATACGTATATTTGTGTCGCGATAGTTCCTTCTGTTAGGGGGCCAGGCCGTGAGGGGCCCACCTTGCAAAACTGGTATTGAATATATTTCCTATTGGGCAATAACAATAAAATCCTTATAGGAAGTGAGTGATCTGCAACTACACTTGTAGCATGGAATCTCTCTGACTCATTCACAGAGCATCAAGAGGAAGAGTTTTTATTGTGGTCTGCACCAGCCGGTCTGCTTACCTTTTTATCTTACCTTAAAGGAAGACGATGGTGTTCCCCCAAATTTGCTGTAGAAGCGTGAAAAAAAGAGTTTCCAGCACTGAGTTTCCCTGTGCCTAATCTCTACATGCAGAATAATTTAGAGCTATATACATGCCAATAATTATAGACCTCATCAGTATCTGCAATGGCCAATCAAATGCTCCTCATAGAGGAGCATGGGAGACTGTGTATGTGTGGAAGGCACCGCACATTCATCCAAATGCTTCTCATAAGGTCTAAATTCAATTCTTTCCTATGAGCAAAAATGGTCACAAGTTTTACTCATTTTCCTGTGTAAGCGCCTCTAGTGACTCTCTAGTAGACAACCACTAGAGATGTGTTTAACCCTACAATGGAAACACCGCCGTTTCTACAAAATGGCAATATTTTGCATTGCATGGGTAAAACTACAGGACCATTGCACCCAGACCACTTTGAGATACACGTTCCAGATATCCAAACCCCACACATACACATTCCACTCAGCCATTCCACACACACACATATCACACTCAACCAGCCACACACAAACCTGGGAGGGAGGGGGCCTGCTATCAGTGCTTTCACATTTATAAAATGTGCCACAGCACTCCTAGTTATCAAATTATATGGCAAATAAAACTGTTTAATTCCTTCCTCTGTCATTTGTTGAGGACTAAAAATTGCATTTGTTTTCATGTGTAGCCAAATGTAATTTGTGGTTCCTTTTAAGTTCATTGCCATACAGTTTATTATTAAAATGAAGCATGTGGCTTGAATTTGTGTTAAATATAACTAGTAAGGCATGTTTCAATGTTGGGATATTTAAACCTGTCAATGTGCAAGCTCATCGTGTTTTACCCTGTAGCTTGCAAATTTTTTATTTTTTTTTGCAACTTCTTTCACTTATTTTCAGATTGGTGTCCCTTTATTAAAAAAAAAAAAAAAAAAACTAATATATATGTATATATGTGTGTGTGTGTGTGTGTGTGTGTGTGTATGTGTATGTATATGTATATATATATATACATATATAGTTGATACAATGTTAAACAAATATCTGCACACCAGTCAAGCCATAAGACTTGCTTTTCCCACAGAAATCACAAATTTGCATTGATGTTACTACCGCAAAGGATTCTGGGTGGGCATATGCAGATTAGTTTAACAAAGAATCACATTTTTGCCTCATTCCATTTTAAACATGGATTCCTTCGAGTCTGTGTTTGCTGTATACAACAGCTTTGAAACACAACTAGGAAAAGATGCAAAGCCAGTGAACCAAAATATATATCTCAGATAAAAAGAAAAACACTTCAAACAGTCTGTCACAAGTTCCACATTCTCAGATTGTTTCCAAAACAATGATTTCAACCATTTCCTATAATTACAAAATAGTTACAATCAAGATTTTGTCAGTTTAGATCTATATCCACTAAGGTTTAAATTGTCTGCTGATCTTGTAGTAAGAAAAGGATAGGTTACACCAGGGATCTCAAAATCTGTCCCCGTCCTCCCCACTCCAGATAATGGACTACAACTCCCATAATTCTCTGACTGCAAACAATCGAAAGAAAATCCTGCGAGTTTTAGTTAAGCAAAATCTTGGGGGAGGAGAGCTTGAGATGTTTAGAATAGAAGAAAGCATTTGTCCTCAACCTTTTTTTTTTTTTTCTGGATGTCTAAACATGTCACCAAAAACGGTGTCATTTTTATGTGTTTTCTTAGGATTTGCCAGTAAAGGTTAGTGCTTTATAAATAAAATAAAAATCACCAGATCGTGCTTGGTAAATCGGTAGAGTTTTCAGTTATCTATTTGTATTTTACTTTTTTTTTTTTTAAATGCAGCATCGATACCTAGAATGACAAAAGGAAAGCGTGTAGAAATGAATCTTGAAAACAAATATAAATCTTAACAAAATTAACAATTCTTTATAATTTAAAGTTTTCTTCTCTTTTTAATGTGCATTAGGTATTGATACCGGAGCCGTGTGCGGGAAAACGTGTATGGCAGAGCCCGATAACCAGTGGCTGGGAGTTAGCTTATCTAGACAAGCAAAAGATGGAGAAATACTGGTATGTTCCAAAATATATATTATGCTGATTAAAAACAAAAACCAAAAAAAAACACACACACACTTTTTTTTTTAATAAAACGTACTTTGTAGTTACAATTTAAATTGCATAATTATTTATCAGTAAGCAACAGTGAAAGCAGTTTTGCCGTGGTTTCTGTGTTCACTTTCAAAACCATGCGAGCAGGAAGTTGATGTAACCAATAAAGCAACAAAGTAGCAGAGCATGCCCTGAACGAGCTATTTACGGGTCTAGTTTATTTCCCCCTGAAAATTTTACAAGAGTCGGGCAGATCTCGAGCCCAGCCTCAGGAGGAATACTGCAAAATGACTTCTTCACAGAGCAACACATAAAATAAACCAAAACACTTGGTTCACATACGGTGCGTTCTTATTGATCATGTCACTTTTATTGCTGTGCTACATTCATTTGCGATGCACACTGGTTTAAGGTTAATTTACGTTTTACATGCTCTACTCCTCTCTTACTATGTGACTTGCGCTATCCCTACCTTCATTGTAACTTACAACAATACCTATCCTTCCATACAGGCTATCGCATGATATCATATGCTGTATTTCACCTTTCCATCCAATATGCAATTTTTCATATGCCATGTAGTTTTATATTATTATTATTATTATTATTATTATTATTATTATTATTATTTATATAGTGCACTGACATATTCATGAGGTCAGTCAGTTAGATAAGCCTGGCGCAGCATTCATTACAGACTAAAGAGGGCAATGCAGGTATTTGAAAGGCATCAATTCAACTTTAGCTTAAGTAATACGTTAATAGATCACACCCCTGCAGTCTCACTTCTCAAACCTCTGCCATTTTGGAGTTAAATCACTTTTTTTCTGTTTTTGTAGCCCAAGCCACACCTCCCCTTGCTGTAACTCACGCAGTCTGTATAAAAAAAAGTTTCATTTTCATCCAGATGTTAACTTACTTTAGAAGTTTTGATATCCTGCTCTGTAAATTGAACTTTAATGCAGAGAAGGCTACTGCATGGTCTAGAAGGCTACAATAGAAGAGGAGATAAAACATTCTAAATTAACAGACTGTGCAATAAAGGAAGTTAATCCTATAGAATGTGGCTGTTGAATGACAGTCAGAGAGGGGCATTGGATGATGTGTGGAAGGCAGGGTATATAATACGCTGGAGAGAGAGTCAGAGTGAGAGGAAGTTGGTGATATGGTGATATTATTTGACATTGTGGGGAGTAATAGTGAGTGAGGGTGATTCAAATTTAAAAGTAATCACAGTTCTACAATTGCATGCCAGTGGTGGATATGGACTGTCTGTAAGCCAGTCAGTGGTCCTCTGCTAAATCTGTCCCATGTTTCTTCTTTATGGGCTCTTCTGCTGAATTATAGTATGTGCATCTTTAAGAAAATGCAGGAAATGTATGTGAGTTATGACTTTAAAAAAAAACCTTTTACAACTCACACAGTACAGCCTACTAGTCTCTGAGCCTTCTCACCCACAAGTTCAAATCAAGACCTGCAGACTGCAGATGCAGGCTCTGCCTATGAATCAAGTCATCAGACAGGAGATGCTACTACTCTACAGGTGTGCTTGGGCTGACTGGAGGGAGCCTGAATAGATGGAGGTGAAATTAAAGTGAGATAATTCAGAGTGCGATTGAGAAAGCTGAAAATGAAATAAAAGCAGCTCCTAGAGTATGACAGAAGTATTTGGCTGGAGGGAGAGGGGGGTTGATGATAATATCAGAGCTATGATATCCGGGATAATCCCTGTCTCAGTCGAGTTAGGCCTTGTGAATATGGCCAATGCCAGGGTAATGGCAATTATTGTGTGAGTCAAGAGAAACATATTAATTGTATTAAACATTAGTTTAAGTCCCAACTAAAGTTAAGCGAAAAACAAATTGAAAAACAATTAACATATTGGTAGAAAAGTCAGGTAATTGCCATCCCAGTATGGATGGCGGATGGGGTTGGAAGTGCGGGGCTTAGGCTAAGTGTAGCCAGGACAGTGTCGATCTTCGCTGCGTTTGTCACTCTATGTTCCTTGTCCTGGTGCTGCACAATAAGTAGATGTGGTGAGCCCCATCTTTAATTTACCCCTTTAGTGGCAAGGATTGGTGTCGGGGGTAAGAGAGACTTCCTCCATTGTAGGGTCAGGCGTGATAGATCCGAGAAAAAGGAGAGTTCCATATTTTCAAAACGGTAAGAGGTTTCCCCTTAGTGGCTGTCGTGAACGCGGCCTTGTCTTGCCCATTCTGAAATTTATTTAAAAGGTCACTCACATGGGTATACTTTTGGTCTGCTGTGGTTTGGGCAGGCGAAACATGCTGTCAAACTGAATTCCCTTGGCTTGCTTTAGAGGTAATAAGGCTGCAAATAGCCTTCAAAGAAAATGTGGCAATTCTGCCATGGTCACTTCCTCTGAAACGCTACAAATTTTTACATGTTTTCACAGCTGCTTGTCTTCCAAGGCAGCCAGTTGGTGGGATAAGGTCTTTTGAACTGAAATAAGATAGCTGACCTGATTCTGGAACTCTTGGACTTGGGCTGTGTGTGCATGAGAGGTTTGCTCAAGTTGTGAGGCATGCAGTGAATCCCCTTACATCCTCCTTACCTGGGAGATTTCAGCCGTCAGTGTTTGGCAGAGGTCCGACAGGAGGCTGGTAAGTATCTCCATTGTGATCGAGTCAGAAGGCCCTGCGGTCGGCTGTGGGGGCTTGGCTGGCCCTTAATACCCTAGGGTGCTTGGATTGTGAAAGGGACTGTCATCCAAAATGTTGTAGAAATCATCAAGGTCAGTCGTCTTGTTTGGCCTAACCTCCCCATCCGGCCTCTACAGTAAGTTCCCTATATCAGCTGAAAAAAATGGGACCGATCGGGCCAAGTTTTTTTTTTCTTCTTCCCATCGTGTCAGGGGCACTTTCCCTTTGTCTTCTCTGGAATAAGTCACTCTGTGGGGCCCATGTATGTGCAGATTATTGCCCTGATGTTGGAGCTCCGCAGACCTGTGTCTGTTCAGGGCAAGAGCTAGCTCCACTTTCCCACTGAGGAGTTATGACTTTGACATAGTCCTTTCTGTTTTAGGTCTGATTGCAAGTAGCATATGCAGCAAGTGCAGTTACAGGCTTGGCAGTAGCTCATTCTACACACATACTCTACACCTCTCCAGCTGGAGACCCAACACAAGAGGAAAATAAAACACTTGGGTATCTGTCTGGTGGTTGCCCTGGTGCTCCTCTCCAGATACACGCTTGGAAAGATGGTTGCATCTTCAACCTGCAATACTTAATTAAATAAAAAATGAAAATGAACAGCAGTGGTCTTTCTAGGAATTGAACTTTTACTTTTCTTGAAAACTCTGGCTTTTTGGCAGGTATTTTGGAGACTTGATCCCATATTTGCTACTGTAACAAGGTACATATATATCTTACAGAGTTTAATTGCAGTTATGTTGTCAATGTAGGTTTCCATGGTAGAAGATATTTAGGACCTGTGTTTATACATACAATACATCTGGGCCCCACCAGCTAATAAGACATAAAGATAAATAAATATAGATGGCAGCCCAATGTTTGTAAAGCTGTCATGTGCAAACCATACTGCTCCCACATGTCTCTTTTATGTATAAAATGATAATGTAGGATTTTCATTTTTTAATGCAGATAAAGCTGCATTTGGAAACCAGCCTGCAGTCTTAGAACTTAATTTAATCTTGCTGTCAGGTCCAGCTTTTCCACCAGCTGCAATGTTTATGGGACCCCCTTCTCACTTTCAGTCACAGTTACAGTTGTTAGTTTTTACTTAATTTTTAAGTATAGTTTTTGGAAATTCAATGACTGACACGTGCTCAATGTTTATTTATTGCAGGCTTGTGGTCATCGGTGGAAAAATATATATTATATGACCAGTGAGCACAAATTACCCTACGGAGTCTGCTATGCAATACCTTCAAATCTGCGGGCCGGCTTAAGCAAAAGGGTATGCCCATGCTATAAAGGTGAGAATTGTGTATAATCAAGATTCCACATATTACAAACCTTGCCTGTAGAACTATATCCTTAAAGCATTACATTTGCCAGAGGTTTAGAATTTCCCTTGCTCTAATTAATAAATAATTAACCATATTTGTAACATTAAGTAAAATGTACTAATTATGATCTTAAAATAGTGCGGATAAATTCACAACGTGGAATTGTGGTGAACGGAAAACTAAATCGCAAATTTTAAGCCACAAAAATCTTAGTTTGAACTAAAATCTAATTCAGGTTTATCTAATTTGTCTATTTTAGTCTAATTTTTGCTCTTTGGTTTTCTTTTCACCCACTATTTTGTGAACATACCCAAATGTGTCCAAAACCTTCAATTTTGATAAAACTGGTAAAGATAAAACTTAAACTTCCATTAACTGAACAGGAGTGGGAGTTGGGAACATTGTGTTTTGGGGCCAAAAGATCCAGGATTGATGTAGAATCCCACAATCTAAGCCATCGATTACAGGACTAGGAGAACAAACCCCCTGTCCCGTTTGTCATATTTCCATAATCTATATTAGAGTCCTTTTTATAACCATAATAAAACAATACAAGGTGGTAATCCATGTCCTGTAGAACACTCTGCAAGCACAGCTTACATGGAAAAGGGATATTCTAGGCAAAACAAGCAGATTTGATGTGTAGATCATGCCCCTGTAGTCTCACTGCTGACTTTTTTTTGCCATTTAGGAGTTAAATCACTTGTGTTTCTGTTTATGCAGCCTTAGCCAAACCTCCCCTGACTGTGACTGACATGAGAAAAATTGTGTCTTTTTCAATCAGATGTTAACTTACTTTATAAGATGTTATATCCTGCTCTGTTATTAAACTTTAATCACACACAGGAGGCTCCTGCAGGTTCTAGAAGGCTATTAACACAGTCAGGAGATACGAAATTCTAAATTAAACAGAATGTGCAATAAAAGAAGTTTAAATATTAGATCTATCAGGAAGGCTGTGCAAGTCACACACAGGGAAGTGTGACTAGGGATGTATAAACAAAGTGATGTAACTCCTAAAAGGCAGATAATTGAGCTGTGAGACTGCAGGGGCATGATCTATACACTAAAACTGCTTGATTGAGCAAAAGTTGTTTTGGTGCCTTTAGGGTCCCTTTAAGTCTAACATTTGACAATGACTTTGAATTCTAAACAATTCACTCCAGGGTAAATAACCCTATTGATTGCAAAATTCGGACAGTCATGTTAAACAGGGAACACTAAGAAAAGCTGTAATATTTTGGCACTCCTGTCACCTAACATTGTTGGCAAGGGCCAACAAGAAAAGCGGTAATTCCAGCTCCTATTGCTTAACAAATGCACATCATATTGAGATAATCTGCATTATTAAAAATGTGTGCTGAGACATAATTGTCCACATTGTCAAAAAAAATGTTGTGTTGCTAGTCACTATTAAAAAGAGTGCCCTACTATCAAAAACTGTAGAAATTTGAGCCTAGCTGGAACAATAGAAAAACATAATGTAATACGATATTATGTTGAACATTCTGTTCAGTTATGTATTCCATGAACTGAAAAAGAGTGGGAGTTCGGAACATTGTGCATCAGGGCACCCGATGTGTCCAAAACCTTCAATTTTGATAAAACTTAAACTTCCATTAACTGAACAGGAGTGGGAGTTTGAAACATTGTGTTTTGGGGCCAAAAGATCCAGGATTGATGTAGAATCCCACAATCTAAGCCATCAGTTACAAGGCTAGGAGAACAAACCCCCTGTCCCGTTTGATATATTTCCATAATCTATATTAGAGTCATTTTTATAACCATAAGAAAATAATACAAGGTGGTAATCCAGGTCCTGTACTACACTCTGCAAGGACAAAACATAGAGGAAATAAAATAGAGACTACAACAATGATATAAATACCATAAAAGGTAAACAATCTGCAAAACAAAACAAACAATAGACTGAAGACAAAAATATTTATTAGACAAATAATATACAAAAAATATCTCGTTGGGCAGAAAATATTCTCAAAATACAGGTAAGAAGCATTGCTAGCTACCCCAAGGATGCCACGGACCTTACAAAGGTATCTGCTTTAAGCAACTACGAATGTTAAATCTTTTTATACAAACATCCCACCACCTAGATGGATTAAGCATGATAATATTATTAACATTCAAAAGATATATCCAGAGATACTGTTATACTACTTACACAGTAAAATAATTTACCTTCGTATGAGCTTGATCTGCAAAATGCAGGTATGTCTATAGGAATAAATATGGCTTAATAATAAATATGACTTATTTCTTGATCATTTGGTTAGCCTATTTTAACTAGCGCCACCCACTATTAAGCTCACCCTAAATTATTATTTACACACACCCATTTTCGAGAACCCAATATCTACATTAAATAAAAAAACATTACAAACATCCACAAATGACAGACAGACAAACATTCATGCTTCTGATATAGTTTTCACCCAGATGCAGCAAACACTCCTTAAAAATCGAACAAAGAAATGCCATATAAACTGATTTTTTCCATCCATTGGCTCAACATGGAAATTAAGAAAGCAAACTCCAACATCAGTCTAGAACTCTAGATCAGAGGTTCCCAAACCAGTCCTCATGGCCCACCCACAGTCCAGGATTTATGTAGTTCCCTGTTTTTTTTTCAATGGAGATACTAACAAAACCTGGACTGCTGGTGGGTCTTGAGGACTGCTTTGGGAAATGCTGCTCTAGACAATTACCGTATATACTCGAGTATAAGCCGAGTTTTTCGGCACATTTTTATACTCGAGTCAGTGTCTGTATTATGGCAATTTATATTGCCATAATACAGACTGGGGGCTGGCAGCGAGCGCTTACCTCTCCTGCAGCTCCTGTCAGCTCTCTCCTCCTCCGCTCCGGTCCGTGCAGCACCTCGGTCAGCTCCCATTGTAAGTGTCGCGAGAGCCGCGTGGTCATAGTGCGGCTCTCGCGAGATTTACAGTGTGAGCTGACAGAAGAGCTGCACGGACCGGCGCGGAGGAGGAGAGAGCTGACAGGAGCTGCAGGAGAGGTAAGTAACAGCTCTGCCAGCCCCCCTCCTCCCCCCACTGAACTGCCAATGCCACTGGACCACCAGGGAAGGAGAGCCCCCCTCCCCAGCCAGCTAAAAAGCAGGGAGGGGGGACGAAAAAATAAATAAATTAATAATAAAATAATATTAAAAATAATAATAAAATATTAATAAAACAAAAAAATGCCCACCCCCCACCAAGGCTCTGCAACACACACAAACACACTGCACTCATACACACACACTGCATTCATACACACACACTGCACTCATACACACTGCACTCATACACACACACACTGCACTCATACACACTGCACTCATACACACTGCACTCATATACACACGCTGCACTCATATACACACGCTGCACTCATACACACGCTGCACTCATACACACACTGCACTCATTATATACACACACTGTAAATAAATATTCAATTAATATAATTTTTTTAGGATCTAATTTTATTTAGAAATTTACCAGTAGCTGCATTTCCCACCCTAGTCTTATACTCGAGTCAATAAGTTTTCCCAGTTTTTTGGGGTAAAATTAGGGGCCTCGGCTTATATTCGGGTCGGCTTATACTCGAGTATATACGGTAGATACATGGAATCTCCAGAATACCCAGGGAAATGCTTCTAGAATGCATTCCATGGGCCAGAGATCAATAGAGAAACACTTGTGGTTACTACAATTATAAGCTAAAAAAAAAAAAAAAGCCACATATAAAGTCGTCACATGTAAGGAAAATAAATGGAGAGTTGCATGTTGCAACCCACAAAAACTGATATATTCACTTGCAGAATAAAAAGGTGCACAACTTGCCTGATAGTTTTGGGTCCAAGGTATGTAACTCTATACCAAGTAAACAGAACGACATTGAGATTGGTAATTTAATCATCATTTAATGAGGTGTACTTTATATTCTGATTTACAGGAGGACATAACTTTTCTAAAAGTGAACTTTAAATTGTGGAAACAAATTAGAGGATTGTTAAAATAAATGCATTCATATTTTGACACTTCAAAACAGGCTTGAATCTTTAACCCCTTAAGGACACATGACGGAAATATTCCGTCATGATTCCCTTTTATTTCAAAAGTTGTGTCCTTAAGGGGTTAAATGGCCCTCATTTAAGCAATAAACCATGTCACTACAATTTACTCTACTGGGTAAATATAAGACTCTCAGACTCCTGGCATCTCTGTGTTAACTAATATTGCCTTGTTAATTGAAGTAGACAAATGTCATATACTCATCTAGTAGTTTTGTGCCATTCTTCTCTAATTTTCATTTGGTTCCCTATCCTGTTAAGCTATATTCGACAAATGTGTCTTGCACTGTGTGTACACTTGTAATGTATGTATGCATATCTACATGCATAAGACAGGTTGCACTCACCTGAAAATACATGTTCTATAAGGGTGCTGTTGGAACAATAAATACAACATAGAGAACATAGCGCAATTAACTTTAGAGTTGTAAATATGCAATGTTTTTTTTAAATTGCAATATATGATCATGCATTTCATGACCATACTACAACACCATGGATGGCATATTTGGCAGTTCCTCTTTTCAACTTTCTTAAAACGGACAGCAATATTTGTAAAAATATTTGATTGCTTTGGACATGATGCCTTTTTTTTATCTTTAAAAAAAATAAATGACTGTTGATTTTATTTTTGTATAGATTATGTTAGAAAGTTTGCTGAGGAATTTGGCTCATGTCAAGCTGGGATATCAAGTGCATACCTTGAGGTAGGTGTTTTGTGTTTCATTAAATAATAATTATGTTTCATTTAAATTTGTCTTGTATCTAATATATTTAGATCACATGTATTTAAATCAAATAACATGGGTAAACCATGCCCTATATTGGTAATTTTCTTAAAGTAACACTAAAGCGTTAGGAATACAAACCTGTCCCAAGTTATAGAGGTCCATTTTACTTACCTTTTTCCAGTTGCATGGTTCCCTTAAAAAAGAAAAAGATCCCTGTGTAAATTATAACACATGTTGAACCATTCAGAATATATATTGTATTGTCTTAAGTTCTCGCAGATCTACAAAATATCTTTCACCAAAGATTATACAAATATAGCCGTGAAATAAAATTTGTCATCTGCAAGTGGTTTTGTTTATTGGACACACTAATGAAATATACACCATATATAGGTGATTAACAAAGTAGCAAATCAAAATTAGCCCAGAAATATTAAAGGACCACTATAGTGCCAGGAAAACATACTCGTTTTCCTGGCACTATAGTGCCCTGAGGGTGCCCCCACCCTCAGGGACCCCCTCCCGCCCGGCTCTGGAAGGGGAAAGGGGTAAAAACTTACCTTTTTCCAGCGCTGGGCGGAGAGCTCTCCTCCTTCTCTCCTCCTCCGTTCCTCCTCCTGGGCTGAATGCGCACGCGCGGCAAGAGCTGCGCGCGCATTCAGCCCGTCGCATAGGAAAGCATTTACAATGCTTTCCTATGGACGCTTGCGTGCTCTCACTGTGAAAATCACAGTGAGAAGCACGCAAGCGCCTCTAGTGGCTGTCAATGAGACAGCCACTAGAGGATTAGGGGGAAGGCTTAACCCATTCATAATTATAGCAGTTTCTCTGAAACTGCTATAATTATGAAAAAATGGGTTAACCCTAGAAGGACCTGGCACCCAGACCACTTCATTAAGCTGAAGTGGTCTGGGTGCCTAGAGTGGTCCTTTAAGAGCACTGATAATATCCAAGACATAATAAGACTGTATATAGTTCAGTCCGTCATAGCAATCTACAGAGTTCACTGCTGAATTGTATACGGTTATGTCCAAGTTAAATATAGTATATCTCTTTTAATTTTTAACCCCTTAGTTAGACATCACTGTATTTTTCTAAATTATGTAATTAGTATGTTTTTTATGGCAGACAATGTATTTTCTTACTAGGATATTATGGTTATGGGGGCTCCAGGATCTCATTATTGGACTGGTTCACTTTTTGTGTATAATACGACCAGGAATAAAATCATTTCCTATGAGGACCGGACTAACACAGTCAAGTTTGGGAGTTATTTAGGTAAGATCTGCTGTTCATTTCGTTTATCGTGATTTTTATATTTTCAACATTTATTTATCACCAGCCTTTTGCAAACTATTAACGGCTTTGTATTTATGTAACTCGCTATTTTATCATATTCCGTTTGATACAGATTCTCACAAATGGTCATGTTGTATATATTAGAATCACAAGTGCACTTTAACTGTCTATGTTGCTAAGTTACTGAAACACCTGGGGATTGAACCCAAATGAAAACTTCATGACTCTTACACTAAGAGAGGTGAAGATATGTCAAGACATATCACCACTATTCTTTATGCCTCCTCCTCTCTACCCACGAGCATTGTACTGTTTGTTTTCCAGTATCTCAACAGAAGCATACACAAACTCAACAACAAAGTACATGCTTCACAGCCAGGTATTCAATGCTTCCTAACTAATAATGGGATGTTCATGCTCTGTTTCTATCAGTTACCTGGGGAGCATGACCCCCTCCACAAATTCTCTTACCTGAGTGCATCAATTCACTATTTTATATTTAAATACTGAAAGACAAAATATGCCTCCTGCCTAATATGTCACCTTTCAAAAACAAATGCAACATATACAGTATATGGACAGATATACTTGAAAACGAGAGAAATCTCAATCTATCCTTCCTGGTAAAATATTTTATAAATAAATATATTCTGTAATAAACTTTAAGATCTAGAATTTTAAATGAACACTTCAAGTACCAAAACTACTACAGAATGGTCTGGCATCAGCCAATTGTAAGTAGAAGAAAAGCGAGGGGCACACCCGGAACATGCATTTCTAAGTAGGGGTGCTGTAAAGACCAAAATATATATAAAGTACAAATTAAAGAGCAGCACACACAAAAACATACAGTTTTAAATTTTACAAGGCTACTTAAAATCACCTATCTTAGCCGACAAATATGGGGATCCAATTCCACCATATGGCCATATTGTGTTAGACTCACCACTACATCACAGTACCCCAATATCAGTGGATTCTAGACTAATTGTAAGTAATCTAACCATTTTAGAACAGGTCGGCTGCTTACCTGGTGTCTGCTTTTCCCACTTTTCTCTTCTACACCAAATCAAATATATAACAAAGATGGTATTTTAAATTAAGATGATTTTATAGATTTAACCCATTATTATTATTTTTATATTTTTATGTGGCATGAACAAATTCTGTAGTGCTTGACAATAACTCTGTCACACATACTTACAAGATTGGCCTGACGTAAAACATATTAGCACTACCACAATTTGCCATTGTAGCATACCATTCCCTATTTGGCAGAATGATATTAAAAACAGGAAACTTGTGTTATTAAATATATCTGGATACAGAAATTAGGTAGTTATTAGGAAAGCAAATTCTTGTAATCTAAACCAGTTGTTGTAGAGGTCACCTCCATGCAGTTTGACTATGATGTTAAGAATTTCTCTATAAAATATGACCTTGTGCTAAAAGAAATGATCTTTCCATACATTAACCTGACAACTATTGACCATGATTGTGTAATTTTGAGGTTACTCAGCCGTTCTGATTTCAGCAGGATAGTCTGATTGGAATTGCTTCCTGGTCTCCTGCCTTTGGGGACACTTGAGAAATGTCCCCAAAATGTTTGTCAGAAGCCTAAATTTTGAAATTCTCATCAAATCCCTGGCATTCTCAGTTTAGTGAAATACCTTGTTTATGTAGTCAAAGCATTTTAAATATGAAGATTTCTTAGAAAGAGAATTTGACATGTGTCGGTGCTGTATAAATTTAAAGAGTGATTCTTGAAACATCAAAACCAAAACAAGGACTAGACTGTGAAACCTTGAACCTCATAACTGAATATCATCAAGAACATCATTTACCTATGTTTTATGTTGGACAGCTCCTAAAACAAGTAGTGTATATACTAGTTATATCAAAATAGAAATAGAATTTAAAGTATGTGACACTTGTATTGTAACAGATTTTAAAGCAGTTATCTTTAAAAAAAAAAACATGAACTTTTACACAATTTCCTTGAATTTCTTTTTTTTCATTCCAGATACAAAACACAGGAAGGTCTGTGTAAGGGATGTGGTTTACGTTTTACTTTTCTCAGCTTTTTAAAGTTTTGATGCACAAATTTCGTTCATAGCATTTAAGTAACATAAACACGAAAAATGTTTCATGTCTGTTTAAATATCATGTTCTCAGACCCAGTGTCTGTTGAAAATGGTTCGTGAGTGCACGGAACTCAAAGACTAGTCAAGAACTTTGAGTTCATATAAAAAAACAAAACATATATTCTCCCCCTACACTGATAGTGAACTTTTATGGCTAATAAGCTTACATTAAAGGAACACTTTAGGGGGAAATGTTAGCATACAAAGTAAGATTAAGTACTGAAATACTGATTTCAGGATGTTTTCGTATGCATGTGAAGAAACGACAATGAGATTCTCCTTTACCGTCTCTTATGCGATGCCATTTGGTTCCTTCACTTGGTACTGATCTCAATATTTGTTGCAGAAGTTTAGCCTTCACATTTAAAAAGGCATATCTGTATGAGATATAGTAATTGGTATTGCTAACAAATGCATTTAAACAACAAAAAAATAACTTGAATGTTTAGGTAAGCTAGTATTAGCTCTAATATTACCTGTTGTATTGCTTAGTAGTCTGTGTGTTTAAGTAAATATTTGTCTATGAATACTTGGATGTTTGTAAAATTGATTCAGTAAAGTAGGAATTGTGGAGAGCCAACAACTGCAAATTGCTTGCCAAAATGGAAAAATTGGAACAATTCTTGAACGATCTTTCAAACAAAGTGATTTTGGCAAACGAATAACAGCAGCTTTGTGAATTTCCACAATTCATGGTTTACTGAACACCGTGTATCTATATAATAATTATGAGCAATATTTGCAGCAGATTAAATCTCAGCCATTTGGATAGTAAAAAAATATTGCTGCAACGGAGATTTAATAATTGTTTATCATGATAAATATTGTATGCAGGATAAATTTGTCTTCATCCTGTATACTCATAACTGGGTTTGTTGTGACTTACCTTTTTTTGTACCAATATCATATTATTAATAAGTCAACAATTGTCACTGTTACAAAACCGCTTAGAATTTTTTTTTTCCTTATAATTTCTAGGCTACTCTGTTGCGGTCGGACATTTCCAAGCCCCAGACAGTTTTGAAGTTGTAGGAGGAGCCCCACAACAGGAGCAGATTGGTAAAGTAAGAAAAGAATATTAAATTGTGATAAAAAATAAATTACCCCCTCCCCCCAAAAAAAAAAAATACTATAATATTAGTTTGTTACTGTTATCAAATGTAATTATAAAATAAATTGCTTTAAAAAAAATATTTTCGGTAAATAACAGAATTGAATTTCAATAAATAGGACAAATTTTGCAGAAGTGATTTGTTTTTATCAAATTACAGAATAATATGGCTTTTTTTCTATTATAGCAAAGTACCCATTTTTTTCTGTCTACATAGGCATACATCTTTTCACTTGGAAAATATCAGCTGGATATTATATTTGAAGTAGCTGGAACAAAGGTCTGTGTTTTGTTTCTGCATCCATCTTTTGATTTAAAAGTTTACTTTATAAAGGAGATTATGACTGTTTATTGTGTCTATATACTGCCCCTGTACTACTTATTTATGTCAACATTTAATTTCGGGTTTAACGTTGGGTAGTGATTCTTGTCCATGATATAGTCAATTCAGTCCATTCCAACTTGGTGACTGAGAGATTCAGGGTCTCCATCACACCTCTTGTAGTTGAGATAAAGAAGGACTTGTGGCCGGTGACTGGAAATGGGTGAAGCTGTATACGGCAGGATTTACATCATGAGTGCACGGCATTCTCAAGTGCCCCCCAATATCCTCCTTTCAAACTAAGAAAGCTAAACTGGGGCATTTAAATATGATAAAAATGTCTCACATAAAAAGTGAGTGCATGTGTATATATGTATGTAGGGTGGGCAGTAGCAGTGTGTATTAATACAACTTTAAAAATAAAAGAAATTAAGGAGTTACCCTTTTTCTTCCCCAATTCTGAGCATAATACACGTGGACATTTATAATCAACCAAAAATTTAAGAAAAAGGACAATGAGGAGGAAGGGAATGGGATCACCACTTAGATATTATACCCCTATTCCTTAGATATATTGAGTGCATAGTCTAGTAATTATGACAACTCTTAGAATTTATTGAAATAAAGTTTTGGTTATTTGCTCTATTCTTATCTTTATAAATTGTTTAGATATATCAGTAGATAATAACTAAGAAGACTTAATTGGGATTGATCCCTATGGCAGTCACAGTCTATTACAGTATATCCTAAGAGTTACTCCTTTTTAAGGAATATTATCATCTGTTGCCAGAGAATGAACCTAGACTCTGAATACTTTGTATGACAATAGGATCAGAATTGTTTCAATGTCATCCTATATGTGCACGAACGTTACGGTTAGTGTGTAATGATGTCAAATGCCAGGTTCTCGCACTATTGTTTGTGTTAAAGTTATGTTTTATCTAAACGTAATCTAACACTAAAATTAAACGGATCTGCTGGGTAGAATGTATGCACTTTTAATGTATAGATTGGGAGAAAAACACTTTTAAAATGGGTTTTTCTCCCAAATGTACATCAGATCTTCAGCATAGTCTCTATGCCAATTAATTGACCGACAAGGTAGAGCGCAATAGACCTCCCACATGCAGTCCTTCTGCTCTCCTAAGCATAGGAGCTGGCTATGGAGTTTAGGAAAACAGTGACTGATGTTAATGTTTAGATATTGGCATGCTTGTGAATGAAGCCAGCTTGTTGGCATCACAGAGGAGGTTTGCTCTACTTGGGGAAGCTTCCTCAAGCAGGACCAATGTAAGAAGATAGCAAGAGGAGCAAGGACGGCCTGAAGGGGGAGGTTACACAAAATGAGGAAATTGCAGTGGTGAAACATGGTTAATGAGCATTATTCTACATTGCACTTCATTTATCTCTGTGATACATGATGTATTCAATGTATTTAGGAACTATTTAGTTCAAGTTAAAATATTGATGACATAAAATATGTATTCTTAGATTCATAACTCCATAACCTCTACTGCTGGAGGTAAATTGGACTTTCTGACCCATTGTACCCACTCTCTCTGACCCATTGTAAATACACATACGATGGCAAGATAAGTTTATATGTACAGTTAACCAGGCATTTTTGCTTCATTAGATTGGCTCGTACTTCGGTGCTTCCGTGTGTGCTGTAGATCTAAATGGTGATGGCCTCTCAGACCTGTTGGTGGGAGCACCGATGCAAAGCAAACTTCGAGAAGAAGGGAGTGTTTTTGTTTATGTGAATACTGGTGGTGTAAGTATTTACTAATTAAATATGTTACTGTTTAGCAGCATTGTATATTAATACACTATTTGCCAATCCTAATGTGTACGTGTTGCTGTATCCTTCCTATTATTTACACATTAAAGGAACCCAGACCACTTCATCTCATTGAAGTGGTCTGGGTGCAATGTCCCTGTGGCCTTAACCCTTCAATGTAAAACAGTTTCAAAAAAGCTGCATTGTCTACATTGCAGGGTTAAGACAACCTCTAGTGGCTTTCTTCCAGACAACCAGTAGAGGCACTTCCTGTATTTTAATGGAGATTAACTCTGTGAAATGATGTTTGATGTCCTCATGCTTTGCATGAGAACATCCAGTGTTTTCATAATACACATAGGAAAGCACTGATTCATTGTTTTCCCATGGGAAAGTTCTAATGCGCCTGCAGTGACGACGCGTATGTGCATTTGGTCCTCTATAGGCATGAGGCGGGAGGAGGAGACCGGGCCAGCACCGAGGAACCATGGCGCTGGAATACAAATTAGCCCATGAAATATTAAATGTAACAGAAAAAGGGAAATAATGTATATACAAAGTGGGGTGCATTATCCTGATGAAAGAGACCACTGCCATCAGAGAACACCATTGCCATGAAATGTTGTATGTAGTCTGCAACAATCTCTAGGTAGGTGGTGCAAGTCAAAGTAACATCCACCTAAATGCCAAGATCCAAGATTTCCCAGCAGAAAATTGCCCAGAGCATAACATTGCCTCTGCCAGCCCACCTTCTTCCCATAGTATATCCTGCTGCCGTCGCTTCCCCAGGTAAATGACGATCATGTACTAGGCCAGTGATGGCGAACCTATGGCACGCGTGCCACAGGTGGCACACCGGGCCCTTTCTGTGGGCACGCGGCCACAGGTTCGCCATCAATGCAGAGTAGGCACCTGCCTGCCGAAACGGCAGGCGCCTACTCTGCTTCCGGGTCGGGAGGCAGGGGGAGGAATCTGTGAAGCAGCTCCCCTGTCCTCCCGTGCGATGCTGTGTGGAGCGTTGCCGCGCGCGCATCACAGATCCCTCCCCCTCCAGTGCTTACCACCACCGGACCACCAGGGGTGGCTGTGTCCCCCCCCCACTTCATTAAAGGTAAGAAGGAGGGGGGGTATACTGACACACAGTACCCTACCCCCAAGTACCCCCAGCAGTACCCCCCCCCCAGCACCCCCCCCCCAGCAGTGCCCCCCCCAGCACCCCTACCACCCCCAGAGTACCCCCACCCCCAGAAGTACCCCCCCCCAGCAGTACTCCTACCCCCCAGCAGTACCCCCCCCCACACAGCACCCCTACCCCCACACAGTGCACCCTACCCCCACACAGTACCCTACCCACCACAGCAGTACCCTACCCCCCACAGCAGACCCCTACCCCCACACACAGTACCCCCCACACACAGTGGCCTACCCTCCCAGCAGTACCCTACCCCCACAGCAGTACCCCTACCCCCACACACACAGTACCCCCCCAGCAGTACCCCTACCCCCACAGCAGTACCTCCCAGCAGTACCCCTACCCCCACACACAGTACCCCTACCCTCCCAGCAGTACCCTACCCCCAGCAGTACTACCCCCCAGCAGTACCCTACCCCCAGTACCCCCCCAGCAGTACCCCTACCCCCCCGCAGCACCCTTACACATACAACACACACACAGCAGCACCCCCACACACACACACACAGCACAGAAAAAAAGTTGGCATGTATTGCGGTTTGGGCACAAGGGCTCAAAAAAGGTTCGCCATCACTGCACTAGGCCATCCACCTGATTTAAATAGAAAATGGGATTCAGCAGACTGGAACCTTCTACCATTGCTCCATGGTGCAGTTCTGATGCTCACATCCCCATTGAAGGCACTTTTGGTGGTAGACGGGGATCATCATGGCACACTGACCAATCTGCGGCTAGACAGCCCCATACACTGCAATTCGCTGTGTCAGCATTAAGTATTTCAGCAGTTTGAGCTACAGTAGCTCTTCTGTGTAATTGGACCAGACTGGCCTGTCTTGCTTTCCATGTGCATCAATGAGCCTCTGATTCCCATGACCCTGATGCTGGTTCACTGGTTGTCCTTCCTTGCACCACTTTTGGTAGGTACTAACCACTGCAAACCGGGAACACCCCACAAGACCTGCCGTTTTGGAGATACTCTGACCCAGATGTCTAGCCATCACTGATTGGCCCTTGTCATCATCAGCTGGCTTGCCTGTTTCCAACACATAAACAATTCAAGAACTGACTGTTCACTTTCTGCCGAATACATCTCATGCTATTGTAACAATAAAATCAATGTTATTCACGTCACCTGCCAGTGGTTTTAATGTTGTGGCTGATCAGTGTATATGAAAAAATATTTGAAAAGCAAATTTGTTAGTACTTGTACAATGTGTACTCCTAAATCAAAAAAGGAAAACCTAATGCAGAATTAGATGAAAACGAAGGCCTCTTCCATTTCATTGTTTCTTGTCTGAGTGCTTATTTGCAAGGATGTCAATATTTGTGTGAACTCATCTCGCTTACCAGAGCTCTGTTTTTCTTTTTAATATTGCTGACCTCCGTTTCCTGCACCCCTGTGAGAATTCTCTGCTGTGCTTCCTTCTTGCCCCAAACAAGTTATTTTGGAGGCTCTATTTCATTTAACTGTTTAAGAGCTTACAATGAAGATTCATGTCAGAACTGAGACTTTGTCTTATCTGAGTCACTTGAAGACAAGTAGGGATTTCAGTTATGAGATATTTGAAATCAATGAGGCGGTTTAAGTGTCATAAACTCATAGGAGATTATGAAGGAGATACAAAAGTTCAGAGTTTATAAAAGTAAATCATTTCAAAAAAGAAATCTGATTTTTATTTTAATGTAATTTTCACTTGAATTATTTTCTAAATGGATTATGTATTCTTTAATGGCTTATGAAAGCACTTTTAATTAGATTTTAATTATTGTAATTATTATTACTGGCATTTATAAAGCTCTAAAATATTGCACAGTGCTGTGCAATTGGGGAACTCAGAACAATGTACACAGACTAATACAAAAGGTAAAGAGAGCCCAGCCCGTCATGTATAAAAGGAATTTGTCATTTTATATAAATGACTTGGCTAGATAGCCTGTGAACCAGTGCTAATTTTGTCGACTAACAATTTTAGTCAAATTTTAGTCGACTAAACCTACACTAAAACTAAAACAATTCAGATGACTAAAATACGACTAAAATTAAAATGTATTTTTATTAAAACGAAATTGAAAGTTGCAGCCAATATTAACACTGCTGTGAGCTTACAATTTAAAGATTAAAACATAGATTTGAAACACGAGGTATCAGGGGGAATTTGGGGATAATGGAAGGAGACAAATAAAGGATACCTTTAGCCACATATAACATATAAAGGCAGGTAATTGAGTGAGATCGCAAACGACGGAACCACTATATAGGCTTAGTGAAAATTAAGTAGCTCTGTTTTTTGTTGGCTGGGTTTCTGTATTCAGGCCTAAGGGACGGGAATGAAGATAAGACATAGTTATCGAGGGACATTGGATGTTAATTAACCATTTAAGAATGAAGCATACATTTTACTCCTAATAATACAATGGATTTCTTCTCAGAAAATCTGGACACAGATTTCATAGTGATTTCATCCAATATAACCAATAAGGGGCTAAAAGTGCCCTGTCCAAGATTCTCAATAACATGGGCTTTCAATGTGAAATTCTGCTGTGTAAAACTAGCCAAAAGCTCCTCTTCTGCGGAGTTTGTAAAATATTCTCCCTTTTCCTTGATCTATTGAAAATCTTCATGTTTTTCATTTTTTTTGTTATATTAATAGTTTCCCCTTTTAGTTACACTTTCTCTTTCCATCCTTTGTTTCCTGCAATTCTCTCTAGTGTTGTGCCCTTTCTGATCGTATCAGCCAGTCTGGTTGTATTTTTGAAACGTTGCTTCCTTATTAAATTTAATCCATTAAAACCGTCTCATCTGGGACCACTGTGCCCCCGTGCAACCTAGTACACTGGATTTCTATCTAGGATGTTCTCGTGGATGGACTTATGCCAAGGATAGGCTGGCATGATCATATCAACCGGTCTATATTCAGAATAATATGAGATGATAGCAAACGGTGGATTACAAGTTACAACTCAATGTACATAAAGCATATAGATGATTAAACAGAATGTGGGAGAAACAATTACATCGGGGAAATGTAGGTGTTGAGGTGGGTACCACTGATGAGAGATTGCTTTGTTTAAGAGTCATGAGGCCATTGATATTCTTAATTTCCTTCGTTTTTCTTATTGTTGGTGCTGCTGTGATTGTGAACGTCATTTATGTATTGCAAGTAGTCTTAGATAATAGCGTTCTCATCTCTTATCATCTCTTATGATTCTGCCAAGATATCTAGGTATTTAGTCTACTATATATGCAATATTCCAATAATCCATATTTTATATAATTGTCAATGTGTTTATGTATTTATTTTTTAAGGGAGTGATGGAAGAACTTCCGTTTGAACTTTCTGGAAGTGACTTATACGCAGCAAGATTCGGAGAGACCATAACCAACCTTGGTGACCTCGATCATGATGGGTTTGAAGGTACAATAACTGTATCTCCCTGAGTAGAGATAGAATGGCGTGATCAGACCAGATACAATACTTCTATATGTAACAACAATATCTCCATTAGTTCCATTGAGCAACGTTAGCCATTGCAGCATTACACAGCTGGAGAGCAGGGACACAAAGAATATAGAACCAGGAAATGTTAACACAAACCCTTAAAAGGGCCAAATTGCTGCTTTAAACAAGGAAATCATGACTCACTGAAAGACAATTAGTACAGAAAAAAATCTATGTAAACATTACATTCAGTCCATAGTGGCTATATCCTAGGGCAGTTATTTCCGTATTAAGTACTTCAAACCTTCTTTGGAAAAACAGGTTTGCATTCATAAAGTCTGTTTTTTTATGCCTTGATATTTACATTCTCTGTGCCGTTTCATTTGGCTGTACTGTACATCACACTTGGCCTCTTTGTTCTTTGGCACGTCTTTTGGTTTGATATTGGCTTGGCACGTCTAGCTCATTACTTAATTTTAGAATGATTGGAGTCAGCTGCTCTAGTTTGTAAATTCCTGTAGTCTCTTGAAGAAAGCTGTGGTATGTATCTGTTTTAGAATATTCTTAAGGACCATAGATAGAGGAAGGCCACAGGTTATTTATCATTTGCTTTCTTCCATGTGAAAATAGCAAACATAATTAGTTTTCTTACTGATTGCAGGAAAACATATTTGATTATTTTTACAAGTAATCGCATACAGATACTTACTAGACTTGCTCACGGTGAAAACATTTGACTCGGCTGGATTGATTTGCTCGAAAACAAATTTTATTTTCATGGCCGTAGATTCATCCAGAGGATGTTTTTGGTTCAGATGAATTTCATCCATATAATCAATTTGGGCAAACCAAAAGGACACAAAAATGGACCAATTGGTGTATGTGAAATATATACATACAGGGTTATTCACTAAAGGGAGAATTCAAAGTTAATTCAAAGAAAATTACAAATTTAAGGCCAAAAGTCACTAAATTAAAAGTATTACTGAATAAGAGATTTTTTTCCAGGCCAGCTGTTTTGACCTTGAATTCACCTTCATTTCTTACTTTAGTGAGACAACCTGTTTATAAAAAAATATTTTTTACAAACTTTGCAGTACACTCAAATGTGCATTTTCCCACCATTCAATTCACAGATTAAGCAAGAAGAGGTAACTAATAGAGGGAATGAAGATGGAACAGTAATAATATATATGTTTTGATAATATATATTTATTATATATATATATATAACCTTTTTTTTTACTGCTCTTCCTGTTTTCCCGCTATTGCTCAATTTTCACTTAAATAAATAAGTAATAAAAAATCATCATTTAATGGCTGTTCACTAACCATCAATCATCGGTTTTTCCATCAATCATTGCTTTTTTTTTGTGTGCCATTGACAGAACTTCAAATCATGAATCAAATGAAACTGCGTGTCCATGATCTGTGTTGTTTGTTTCATGATTCGTTAACGTGGCGCTTTGGAATTACGGAATTCAGAGAACTTGCTGATCACAAAATTTTTTTGAATTTCTATTCGTTTGAAATTGAATGCACACGTCTAATAGTTACACTTGTAGCTAAATATGGAGCCTCATCTTCTCAAGAAGGCCTGATTTAAAGTTTTTGTTATCCATACTTTTTAAATATTTTTCCAGTGCATATTATGATAACAGACATTGAAGAGACATTTCCGAATACATGAGGAACAAGACAAGGTTTTACATGAAATGCCATATGTTCTACACTATTTTATAAAATAGAAAACATGGGTAAAACAAGTATGCCTCGTTTCCACTGAGTGGTACGGTTTGGGTCCGTATGATCTGGTACGCTATTTTGAGTGTTTACATTATGAAAGTGGCCCATACAACCAAACCAAACCGCACCATTCTTGGGCCCCCTTCAGCTGTAGAAATGGTACGGTACGGTTAGGGCGGAGCTACTGGCGTCACACTATTACACAATCCATTGATTGGCGGACAGGAAAATGTCAATGCTCATGACAAATAAAATGCATTTGGTCTGAACCCCACATGCCCCAAAGCTGTCCGACTTGCAGTGGAAACGTTCACCTGCATAGGCTAGACCATTCTTACCATTCCGAACCATACCGACCCGAACCAAACCGCTCAGTGTAAACGAAGAAGTAGTGTGGTCAGGAGTATAAATGTGTAATAAAAGCGATCAGTAGGCTATAATGCTATGTCTGCAAAAGTTATGGACACACAAGGTGAAATAGCCCTATGGTTATATTCAGGCGCGTGTACCACTCCACAGGCCCCATGAATTAAATCTGGCATATTAGGGCAGAGCTCACAGTGAATGAGAGATATTTGCAAGAACAAAATAAAAAATAACAACAATAAACAAGGATCAAAATCTACAGAACTAGAGCTTCATTGGATTGTACCTAGACTAATTAGGTAGGGGATGATGATTGATGGAGGCTATCCCTACATGTCTAGTGCCCAACTGACCTACATTCAACAAGCTTCAACCTTCCACAACCTTCAACCCATGCTACATTTTGTATAAAGCAACCCACTTACACACACTTATTTTGCTTATGTTTTTGAATGAACTTTTAAATAGTGAATGCCTGAGAAGTATTATGAATCAGAAACTTTTTAGTGTATTGTTACATTATTATTATTATTGTCTTTTTTACTCCTAATAAAATATTTGTTAATATTAATAATAACTGTTACATGCCAAGTACGATATAAATATCTATGTATATATATATTTCATTTGTATCTGGGTGATATACTATACTGCCACTTAGTGGGGAAATTAATTATGACATAATTCCATGAGAATATAGCATGTTGTAGAATGTGAGTGAAATTTTGCAATATCACAATTTTGTACAATCTTTACAATTTGATCAGTCACACTAGCTTGGAGTAAATTATTGTGGCTACTGTGTCACAGCTAGCATTCGAGCAAAAATAAACACTAGTTTCCCTCTGTCTTGTTTATTTCTGTAAATACTGATGTGCTGCTGAATATTTTGGATAAAGGATTACAAAAGTGGTCATATGGCCGACATCTCCCATAATGCTGGCAAAGCACCAGACGAGGTCTAGTCCACAACATCTGGAGTGGTGAAAGTTGCAACCCATGGCCTAGTTGGGGGAACAGAAATTCTGTTTGTCCAGGGCACAGAATGCTCTCCCCTGCTCAAATTATTATGCCAGGATACAGTGTAACATCTGTAATGTGGTTTAAGGAAGCCAAGATCCTTAATGCTTGGGGAGTGAAACATGCACTCTCTATTATAAGCTTTTAATATATTTATTTTATTTAAATTTTCTTTCCCCAGAGTCATAATCAAATGCCATTGTATATCAAATATAATACCATAGAAACTAGGTGTTTCTTATATAAAGCGGTCTACCTACTTGTATATTAGTTGTGTTTCAAGGTACATATAATAATATTATAAGATGTAATTGAATGGTATATTAAATATGTCTCTAATTCGTTGCAGATGTGGCCATAGGAGCGCCTCATGAAAATGATCTTGAGGGAGCGGTATATATCTACAATGGCAGAAAAAATGGGATAATACAGTCATTTTCACAGGTATTTAATAAAATCCTCACAAATAAAAATGTTTGACAAATTAGACCATCCCATCGGAGAACTGGCACTGAAATATATCTTGCTTTTTGATATATATCTATATATTTTTTTTTTATTTTTTTTTTGTGGTTTTCTCTCTCTCCTTCTCCCTTTGTCTGTGTGATGCTAAAGGTCATATTGTGATATGTTTAACATGCATAATATTATTTAGGCATAATATATTACTGCAACTGAAGAACTGGATTAATTAACTGAGAGAAATATTTATCGACTCAAAACTTTCAAATAATTTCTTATGGCATATTAAGGCTACTTGGCATAAGCTGTTGTGATAATTGTGTTGTGTGTTATAAAAATCTACACCAGATAGATAAAAATGAATGTTATTTTTGAATGGAAGAAAATACCCGTCCAACAGTTCAAAAGATTTGTTGAAAATATTACCCAATTTTCCAGTGATGCTTTCCTGTTGCAAAGTCAACTGTGTCGAAATGCTTTTGTCTTACTTTTCTCTTTGGAAGTCATATCATTGAGTTATGCACTAAAATCACACTCCTTCCACCAAAGCGAAATCTGGCAATCTGTAGTTTAGTGTTCAAGTAGTATTTCTTTTTTAATAAAAATTATAAATAAATCTACCCCAGATGTCTAACTCCGCTGCTGCAGACAAGGAAAAGGCTGCAGATACTGAGGGGTGGAAAATGGTACAGATGTCATGTTTATTTGTACTACACTTGATTGTTTGAGATTCATCAAAATTTTCTATAAGCAATGTAAAGTAAAATTAGCCCTCTAAATAGAAAGCGTTAGGAAGAAAGGTGTTAATAAGTATAATAGTGATCACTCTAAATAATTGCAGGACACTAGTAACAATTTAATTTACAATTAAGACAGCCAAGACAATGATACATTTAAAAAACGGCTTCTTTCCTGAGTCACTTCCTTATCTCGTCAATATCTGGTTCCTTTTTGGAAAAGACTTAACACCAGTGTTTCCTTTAACTGTATTTCTGATATTGAGCCAGGCAGATGTATGTCCCGAATGAGTTTCTGTTCCATGTGTAAAAGTCATTTAGTGAGTATAGAATGATTCAATGTGCAGTGTTTATATGTCAGTCGATATGTATTGTAACATGTTTTGAAGTTAATTGCCACTAATCAAAAGTATCTGTTACTTTTACAGAGAATACTGGGGAAGACATTTGGCAATGGCTTACAAATGTTTGGACAGTCAATATCTGCTGGGATAGATGTAGATGGAAATGGATATCAAGGTAAAAAAGCATCTTAAAAAACAAACAAACAAAAAGGCCCCACTAAAAATAGACTTCATTTTTAAGTTGTTGTAGCCTGACATCATCTGTGATGTCACACTGCAGGCAATGTTCAGACATACCAAGATTCATGCACAGCACTGAATCATCATATATTTGATCCTTGATCTTCAAGAGTCTGACTGCTGATTTAATGTACTCGAGTTCCTAGTTCTTAGTGAAATCCAGAAAAATGTCACCTTGGTCCTTCAAAACAACGTTCTTAACCCAACTTGTGTTAATTCAGTAGCAAGTGCATTAGCATCTGTTCTTTGTAGTTCAACTTGGAGCAGCTAGCTTCTAACTTAGGGTGAAACTAAAGCTTAATTCTCAAGAACTAATATCTTCAACAGAGTCAACATAGATGCCAATAGGAACCTGATTTGGGCAGAATTTAGAAGGCAGTTAATACAGCTTGATACATTCATGAACTTGAATCTAATGTCATTTCTACTTCCGTCTTCTTGACTTCTATTTTTCTTTCTTTGCAATAATAAAAAAAAATAATAAAAAAAAATAACGCTGCTGCATAATGTATCTTCTCTCAAGGCTTTCACTAATAAATTCTAACCACTCGTCAACTACACCCCACTGTCTGGTGATTTAAAAAATTGTATTACAGAACTCTATTTATGGTTGTTGTAGATCTTTGTGCATTATCATAATAGGATAGGATTATCAGCCAACATTAATATACATATATATTTCAGTTAATGTGTAGAATGGAATAACGTATTGGTGAATGTGTGTACCTACTGTGACATGTTTACGGAGTCAAGTGTCTTTCTTACTGTAATTTTCATCTAATGTATTCTACAGATGTCGCAATTGGAGCTTTCCTGTCGGACTCCGTGGTACTGCTGAGGTAAGCCTGTAGTGATCCATGTATTAGTATTAATATTACAGATAATAACAACAATTACCCTAATTGTACACAGTTAAAGGCAATTTAACTAACTGTGTGCTCTGCAGACTTTCTAGTCTATACGACTAATACATAGCTTCATGTATTAGCAATTCTTAAAACTACTAAATCATACAAACCTGTTTATAAGCGTAGAAGCTACCATTATTAAGTAATGAAATAAGTGTTTACATTCCAAAATTATTTTACTGTACATCTCAGGGCAAATGATATAGACGAACCCCATGTACCTCCATGTAATATTGCCTTAATGAAACAATACTACAGAATTTTGCTGTGATGATTCATAAAAATACTTTGTCTAATGTAACATTTAATTGAAGGTATTACAAAATAGATTCTCTCACAAAGCATGCAATCCCCAGGGGAGTGACCCAACTACACCTATTAGTTCACTCACTCACCCAACCTACCAACCTACCATAAAAGAATAACCCACCACAACGTACAGCACAGTACATACGTAGAACACTAATTAACAACTGGACTGACCCTTTCCCTACACAACAACTAACCAGTCCAGATCCACTCCGCCCCGAAAGAGCCTGGCACTGACCATATAAGACCAGGTACATTCTACTTCCCGCACAACCCCCCCACCTCTCACTACCTACTCCCTCCCCCTCCCTTTTTCTTTTCTTCCCCTCTTACCCCCCGACAGGGCCGGATTAACATAGGGGCTGATGGAGCTGCAGCTCCAGGCCCAGGCCCATGGAATAGGCCCACTGATTTATTTTTTATAAAAAAAAAAATTTTTTTTTTTACATTTTTTTTTTCCACACACTACTCTTAGGGATTCCACTTTTATTTGGCTTTTATTTTATTGGCACAGCCAGTATTTGGGGCTGCCTGGCTGGTGCCAATATTGCAGTGATACTGGCAATACAAATGCTGGTATTTTTCTCAGTATAAACAAGAGATTACTCTGCAATACCAGCACTGGCCAGTAGGGGTCGCTGTATGTGGAGACAGGCAGGGATAGGAATTTCCAGCATATCCCTCCCTGCCTATCTATACTCACTGATCTGCAGGGGTGCAGCTACAGAGAGTCCAGACAGCAACTCCCACCCTGCAGAGACAGCCTACAGCTCAGGGAAGTAAGGGATGGGGGGAAAGGCTGCAAGGATACATGGGGACACTGAGACACTAAGGGACACTGGGAGATATTATGGCAGACACTGAGACACTAAGGGACATTGGGAGACATTATGGCAGACACTGAGACACTGGGAGACATTATGGCAGACACTGAGACACTAAGGGACACTGGGAGACATTATGGCAGACACAGACACTAAGGGACATTGGGAGACATTATGGCAGACACTGAGACACTAAGGGAAATTGGGAGACATTATGACACAGACACATGGGGACACAGTGTCCCCATGTCTCCCAGCCAGTGTCCCTGGTGTCTCAGTGTGTCTCAGTGCCCCCAGTCTGCCAGTGTCTCACTGTCCCCATGTCTCCTAGTGCCTCCATGTCTCCCAGTGTCTCAAGTGTCTCAATGTCCCCATGTCTCCAAGCTAGTGTCCCTAGTGTCTGTGGCCCTAGTGTCTCCTTGTCCCCATGTCTCCCAGTGCCCCCATGTCTCAATGTCCCCATGTCCCCCAGTCAGTGTCTCTAGTGTCTGTGTCCCTGGTGTCTATGTCCCCATGTCTTCAAGTGTCCCCTATTTTCCAAGTGTCCCCATGCGTCCCAGCTAGAGTCCCCTTGTCTCCCAGTGTTACTGGTGTCTCCGTGTCCCTAGGTCTCCCTGTGTCCCCAGGTCTTCCCGTCTTCCTAGTGACATGGGGACCCTGGGATACATGGGGACACAGGGAGACATGGGGCATTGAGACACTGTGATACATAGGATCACTGGGAGACCTGGGGACACAACACTAGGGGACACTGGGAGACATGGGGCACTGAGACCTCGAGTAATCAACACATGGGGGCACTGGGAGACATGGGGCCACTGGGAGGAATCCATCTATACAGCAGAATCAAACTAAGTAGTTTTTTGGTGATTTTACAGCATTTTCTCTTATGTCACTCCTTGTGATTTACATCATGTGATGTCCCCCATACATATTTAATTATGCAAATTAGCAAGGCCTGTATGTTTTTCCAAGAAAGGTGGCAACCCTAACTACTTTTCACATACTCTTACTTAAGTATGGAAACTTAAGAGGGATGTTTGGGAACAAAACTTTTGTGGACTGGCTGACAATGAATATAGTTAAAGGGACACTAGAGTCACCAGAAGAACTACAGCTTATTGAATTTGTTCTGGTGAGTAGAAGTATTACCGTCAGGCTTTTTGCTGTAAATACTGTCTTTTCAGAGAAAATGCAGTCTTTACATTACAGCCTAGTGATAACTTCACTGGCCACTCCTTAGATGGCTGTTAGAGATCCTTCCTGGGTCATGGCTGCCTAAAATGCATCCAAACATTCTGTGTCTCCTCCCTCTGCATGCAGACACTGAACTTTCCTTATAGAGATTCATTGATTCAATTCATCTCTATGAGGATATGCTGATTGGCTAGGGCTGTGTTTGAATCATGCTGGCTCTGCCAGTGATCTGCCTCTTTGTCAGTCTCAGCCAATCCTATGGGAAAGCACTGTGATTGGATTAGGCCATCACTTCTAATGATGTCAGCAGACTGCTTGTTTTTCTGAGTCTAACAGCATGCAGAGTTACAGCTTCAGGCTTGAATACAGTAAGATTTTGCTATATTTATGGAGGCATGAGGAGCCCAGGGGGGCTAGATGGTGGTGTTAACACTATTGGGTCATGAATTCATGTTTGTGTTCCTGACCCTATAGTGATCCTTTAAGGTAATGCTGACTTTGGTCTAGGGGACAGTCCTTAGAAAGCGTCGAGCAAGCGCATCATTAGATGCATTTATGCCAAGCTCAGAGTGCTGTCTGCATAGTATGCCCTTAGTTGGCCAGCTGCATGATTGGCAGGCAGTCTGACATGCATTCATACCAGGCTGGCCTTCTAATTCTTTGGGCAGACATATCCTCTTTTTGGGCATGTTCGCCCCTTTTGGCAGGTTACGTGATTTGTCAGTGGCACACCCTTTTACCGTGCCCATTGACTTCCTGCTTGACTGGACACTGCTGTTAGGGGTTATGGATTTACTTAAAAGATGAAAACATAAATTAGAGAGAGATTAGCCTAGGGTATGTGTTTTATAATAGCTGCTGTTTTCTTTCTCTCCAGCACAATCTCCATCAGATACATGACGCTTGGGAGTGTTTTACTGTTTTTGGTCGATATGATTCTGTAATTAGGCCCGTCATAATTGTCAGCACCAGGCCCAGTGGGCTCTTAATCTGGCCCTGCCCCCCGACCTTCCTCGCCTCCCCACAGCTCATATAGCTGACCACACTACCAGACCTGGGCCTCCACTACATCCTACCCGGGGGCACACTTCCAGGGCTTCCAAGCCCAGCACCCCTACATGCATCTCCATCAACTGTAAAGGCATCAACCACCCCTCCAAAGACACCAATTCATGTGCTGGGCCAACCGGTCTCAAGCGGACATAATCCTCATACAAGAAACCCACTTTGCTTGGGGCAAATCGTTCACTCTCATGAGCCGACACTACCATAAATATTACACAGCTGAATCCCAGAACGGAGTGGCAGTCATACTCCATAAGTCCTGCCCCCTGCAAGTTCAACAAACCCACACAGACCAGCAAGGGAGATACATCACAATCTTGGGGCACATAGGACCCCAACGATATGCATTCACATCGGCTTATGCACCCAACATCCCAAATGAATCTTTCTGGCAGGCATTGCAAACGCAACTGACACTTTCCCCATCCCAACATCTAATAGTGTGTGGGTACTATAATGCCACACACAGCCCAACAATAGACAGGCGCTGAGCTAGACAACCCAGGTGCAATCAACCCCCGACAGCCAGATCTGAAAAAATGTTACACTCATTCATAAATAAAACTCCCCTCCTAGACATATGGAGGACCCAACATCCGACAAATTGAGATTACACTATTTACTCCCACACCTACCAAACTCACTCCAGAATAGACATGTTTCTGATCTTCCCCCTCTGGCACAACACATCCAAACCTCACACATAGGCTCAATAATGTGGTCAGACCACGCAGATATCACCCTGAAAATCACCTTACCCAACACCATGAGACCATGGTCTTGGTGACTGAACCCCACCTTACTCAACAACCCAGCCATAAAAGAGGCAATCTAAAAAGCTATCTCCGAATATTTCACACTAAATAAAGACTCAGTAAACTCAGAAAGCATGTCGTCCAGGGCACGATAATAAACCTAGCTTCCACACAGAAAAAACAATATATCCATAGACTGGAACACACACTCCGAGAACCAAGAAACTTAGAATACCAATTCAAAAGACACCCAACAGCCATCCTACCAACAGGAATCTCCAGATGCCAGGTGGAACTGAAGCAGTTAATGGCTGCAGACGCAGCGAAAGCCCTTCAATGGACCAGGCAATTATTTTATGAGAAGTCTAATAAGGCTGATACCCTCCTGGCACATAGGCTACGCCAACGAACCGCACACAAACACATCAACAAAATAAACGACCCAACTGGAAAAACAAAAGCACTCCCTGACCAAGTAGCAGAAGTCTTCCAAGCTTATTTGTTAGAGCTATATGACCACAACCCACAAGCAAGCCCCCACCCGAATACCCTCCACGAAATGACTGACCGGTACCTGAACAGTCAAAACATGGGCAGGTATTTCAATATCCTGGATGGAGAGAATGGCATCTGTTAAGATGACCCTCCTTCCCAGATTCCTTTACCTATTCCAGGCACTACCCGTGCAAATATCCACAGCTGACTTTAAAAACCTGCAGACCCTAACGGATAAATTCATCTGGGATAACAAGAAAGCCAGAATTAAAAGGGTGACGCTCTATATACCCAACAGAGCTGGGGGTGTGGGCCTCCCCCACTACATGCAATTATTACCACGCAGCACAACTAGCACAAGTACAGAACCTACACGTCCACTATGGGACGTTATTTGTACGGTGTGGCTTCCATGATGAGGGAAGACATGCTTTAATATATTCAGACTATACCACCCATACAAGATTTATTATTTTATTAAATATATATATATATATTTATTTATTTTATTTGCATTTTTTCTTCTATTCTTTATTCCAATTTTCGTTCTGTGATTTCTAAACATCCTGTATTTACTGTACTTAGAGGAGGGCAGGTGGTTACTGGTATTTTTTAAGGCACAGCACAGAAGGCACAGCAGAGTAGGGAAGCTAGTCTCTCCACTTTTAGCTTTCTCTCCTGCCTATATATACGATCTTTTGCAGGGCTTGCCGTTCTGCTAGTATTCAAACCACATTTATCTTTGTCCCGCCTCTCTATTTATTAGACTAGCAACATTTGTTACTTTTGCTAGCAGTTACATTTGCTGTTATTTTGTATCTACTTTTTGCAGTATTTCCTCTTACTTCTAATTACCACTGACTCACAGAGTGATGTTATTGAATTATTATTTCTTTCTTTCTGTTATTTCTTTATGTTATCCAAATAAAAGGGTTATATTTCTTTATTACTTTATTTATTTTTTCCTTATGTGATTTAGGAGTTTTATTTACTCCCATCAAAGCAGAAGTTATATTTACTCTGCTTATTCTTATTTTTTATTACATCAATTTTTTACACTATATTAATTAAAAGTTACGTTTGTGAGGGACCCGCTGGCACTCCGACCGAGTACCTCCGCCAATCGATGCTCCTAGTGCTTGCTGAGGACTCCAAGCACTCCAACCGACACCATCAGCACTGCAGACTTATACCATCCCCCAAGCATGAGCCAAGGCTTCAAGAAAGGGTCAAGCAGGTCTGTTTAATGAGCACACAAAAGCCACAGCACTCATGCAGCAAAATAACTCCTCCAAAATGACAGTTAAGTTCAGTCAGTGTTTGAAAATATGACAGTTATTAGATCAGACAGAGTTTGAATATATGACAGTTATAAGGTCAGACAGAGTTTGAATATATGACCGTTATTGGAAGTTGCAGAACTGTGCCAGTACCATTTAAAGGGCCAGAACAGTCTTTGAAAACACCAATAAGTCCAAATAGTGTTTCTAACTGGCAAAATCTCCCACTGACCATAGTCATACAGCAAGAGGCTGGTAATTAGTCCTCTCCAGGCACAAGTGGCGAAGGGCACTTCGTCACACATCTTCCCATTGGGGGGGAGACTAACCAGGTACTTGACCTTCTGCCGGTCAGTACTTGAGTTAGTCGAGTAGCCCACCCACAATACACCATTACTGCACCTGGTGATTCCTGGTATCCAACTCTGGCCTGTATGTCCCAGGTTGCTGAGGGGAACTAGTGGGCAGAGGCCAGCAGCGCTATGTCTGGATGCCAGCGCTTCTGCTTGTTTTGCCGGTGGGTATTCAGGCTCTGACCAAGAGGGCAAGGGAGGGCAGAGGCCGACCATGCTCTGCCCGGTTGCCAGTGCGTCTGCTGGAAGGGGGTCAGTGGAGGCTAACATCTTCTCCACTAAACCCAGTACCGGGTAAGGGGTTGGCTGTGGAGGGGAGGGGTCGCCTACCTCCTCCTTCTGGTACTCCTGCTGCCACTGGGGAGCGAGACCGGTTGTCTCCTCTCCCAACTGCAGTTAGGGATCTGGGCCGGCTGCCCAGCATCCCTGTAGGGCTGGTGGAGAGACCTCGATCCCATCTCCACCTGCCGTTTGGGGGTCCTCCAAGGACCAGTCCATGAGGTCCCCTACCTCGGCTACCTCTGGTTGCTATTGGGGAGGGAGACCGGTTGTCTCTTCTCCCACTAACACATTCAGCCGCTGGGGAGGGAGGCCGACTGTCTCCTCTACCGATAAGACATACTGCCGGTGGGGAGGAAGGATGACACCTTCTGCTCCCTGTGAGGCACACTGCTGTTGGGGAGGGAGACAAATTGTCTCCACTCCCTGTAGGATACAATGCCGCTGGGGAGGCGGACCAGTTGTCTCCTCTCCCTGTGAGATGTACTGCCGCTGTGGAGTAGGACTGCCTGTCCTTACCTCGGTCTCATCTCCACCTGCCAGTTGGGGTTCTTTCCAGGACCTGTCTATGAGATACCCCAGGACTTGGGAATAAGGACCACCTGCCTCCTCTCTCTGTAGCTCTGGTTGCAACTGGGGATCTGGGCCGGTTGCCCAGCATCCCTGAAGGGCCGGTGGACTAACCTTGGTCCCATCTCCACCTGCCAGTTGGGGTTCCTCCCAGGACCAGTCTATGAGATCCCCCAGGACTTGGGAATAAGGACCACCTGCCTCCTCTCTCTGTAGCTCTGGCTGCAACTGGGGATCTGGGCCGGCTGCCCAGCATCCCTGTAGGGCCAGTAGAGAGACCTCGGTCCCATCTCCACCTGCCTGTTGGGGGTCCTCCCAGGACCAGTCTATGAGGTCTGCTACTTCGGGTACCTCTGGTTGCTGCTGGGGAAGGAGACCGGTTGTCTCTTCCCTCTGCACGGTGCACTGCTGCTGGGGAGGGAATCCGGTTGTCCCCAGCCGCAGTCTCCACAATCTGAACTCACATTCCCGTGCTGCTTGGTTCTCCTCATCCAACTCTTGCATGATACGGACGATCGCCTCTTCCGAAGGGCCTGGGCCATACTTGACTAGCTGCCTCTTTACCTCCATGATGTAAGCGTCGCCCTCATAGCAATAGGTAATGTTTGCTTGGCCCCACTCTGGACCACTAGCGCTCCGATCCGTGCCTTGGATTCCGCTGTAGACAAGGGCACTGCACGAGTGCTAGCGTTGCCCTCAATTATAGCTCCGTAACACTACCAGTGTCTCTGAGCTGCTTCTCTTCACACTAGGACGCCATCCCACCGCTTGCCACCAAAAGTGATGGACCCGCTAGCACTCTTACCGAGTACCTCCGACAATCGATGTTACAAGTGCTTGCCGAGGACTCCAAGCACTCCAACCGACACCATCAGCACTGCAGACTTATCCCATCCCCCAAGCATGAGCCAAGGCTTCAAGAAAGGGTCAAGCAGGTCTGTTTAATGAGCACACAAAAGCCACAGCACTCATGCAGCAAAACAACTCCTCCTAAGAGGAAAACAAAATGACAGTTAAGTTCAGTCAGTACCCTTTAAAGGGCCAGAACAGTCTTTTAAAACACCAATAAGTCCAAATTGTGTTTCTAACTGGCAAAATCTCCCAGGGATTATAGTCATACGGCAAGAGGCTGGTAATTACATTGTGACGAAGGGCACTTCGTCACAACATTTTATCAGGGTTACTCGTATTTCAGAAGGGTTCACCTACTAAATGGTTCACCCTTTTGTTTTTTTCTCTCTATTCTTTAGTACACTCACTCACCCTCACTATACATCTGGCTGCCCAAAGCAACCTGACCACAACTACCCACCACCACCCCTGCACTCCTAAATTCCATAAAACTCTGAAATAAGCTCACCACCAAATGTTCCTTGGTATCCACCCCCTCTCCACTCACACTGGTCTTATGCAAGGCCCAATTCACCCCAGACATGACCCCACAACATTTCTCCAGATTGGAGGACAATGACCTCCTCCGTTTCTAACAATTCTTCCATAACCAAAAACTTCTTCCATTCTCAGACCTCCCCCGATGCACCCCGCTAACCACCTTCGACCACTTCCGTTACCTCCAAATTTGCAGCTACTTAGACACACCCGCCAATAAATAAGTAGACACAACAACTCTCACCCCCCTTCGAACAAGCTTGCATGACCTGCCCAATCCAAAAAAGCCGAACATCCACACTATACTCCCAAAATCATCACCTCCTTTCACAAAGGCTTCTTAACATACGCATACACATTCTTAACATATGCATACTCGGACTGGGGGAAATATGGGAGGCCACGGCCTCAGTCTAAATTTACACAAATAACTTGCTAATGCACTGGCACCCAACGCCACTCCACCTCAGACAAATGGGAATCTCGGACAATGACCTGCGCTGGAAACAGTGTGGGGGGAAGTGTGGCACATATCTTCATGTTTAGTGGAAATGCACACATATAGCACCACTATGGCTTCAAATATTACAACATCCAAAATACTACACACTAAATTCCCACTAGACCCATCGGCCTGGCTTCTCTCGAAACCACTTGACAACACCCCCTGCTGCCAAAACAAACTGATGGCAAAGATCACGCTGGCTACCAGAAGAGCGTTTGCAGAAACATGGGGCAGACCCGAGATAACATCCCTCCAAATGGTGATACGCAAGATAGAGGAAGCCAGAAAGATGGATAAATTGTCCACACTGGTACATGACACCACAACACACTTCAATAATGGTGGTTCTCATGTAGGCATGGCTCTACGAGGTCCCTCAAGCCTACATGAGAACCAAGGACAAAAAAAAGCCAACAGCAACATCCTACCCCCATCCCATCCCCCCATACAAATCCAACTCCCTACCCTACCACCCCAGGAGACTCTCCTCTTCTTTCCTCCCCCCCTTTTTTCTTTCTCTCCCCCACACCTAACCCTCCCCTCAAGCCCCTCCAACTACCCTCCTCCCTTTCTGTCGCACTCACGACATGCACCCACCACCACTCACCAACCCTGACACGAATCCATGAAGCACAATACATATAAACGCTAACCTACACACGGTAATCAAAGGCAAATAACAACCGGAAGGTCCACGCATGACGGGCCATCCAATGCAGACACCAACACCATACTATCCAACTCCAAACCACCAACACACAAAGAGTGACTAACATGACAGACACCAAGCTGATTTTTTGGGTGGAAATCCCATGGACTAGAATAGTTTTATTGCATCCAGAGAGAGAACACAATCTTTCTCAGACTTTTCTGATGCCCATTTAATCCAAGCATGTTCTGGTTTCAAATCAGACTCTTACATCCTTTACGGTATCTATAAGACCACAATATCTCCTATTTCAGAAATGCACTACATGTGTTTGAATGATGTAGTCTAGTGGTGAATCCATTTTTCAAGCTGCAATAAACATACATGTATACAGCAAGTCATTTGGGATAATTTAACCAATAACTATAATCTGGTTTCTGATCCTGTTCTCTCTGTAGAACCAAGCCGGTGGTCATTGTCAATGCAACGTTAGTGATGGCAAGTTCTGTAAATCGGACGAAGGTCAACTGTATTGAAAATGGACATCCTGCCGTGTGCATTAATGTAACAGTCTGCTTCAGTTACGAAGGACTGGAAGTCCCAGGTCACATTGGTGAGTTGATAAGTTATCTATTTTGAAATACTATGTTTCACGAGTTTGCCAACACACATATATAAATCTATAAATTTGTGCCTAGTAAGAATATTTTGGTTATTATCATTATAACATTATTTTATCTGGTGCCAAATGCTAAAGCCCTAGGTACATCATTGAAATGGTATAACAATACTTACAGTAGATTTTGAAAGGCTTGCCAACAACTTCACAATTTGAAGAGGAAAGTATGTCTATCAAAAAATGTCTTTACTTCTATAATTGACCTTAAATCTCTAAAGAGGCCATTGCTCAGGTCTTTATTATTGGCATAGATGTTAAGAACGAAAGGGAGACTGTTTATTCACTGAAATGAAAAACTCTTTAAAAAAAAATTATGACACAAATCAAATATATTATATTACCTATGAATGAAACAAAAAATTATTTGTGTTATGAACGTGGCAGTGATACATCAGCAGAGACTGATATAAAATTAGGAACCTTAAAATATTGATAAATAACGAATTAAACAAAGAATAATCACAATGATATTTGGGTTGGGCATTATTTTTGTATTGTATTCATAGTTTGGCACTATAGAAAAGAGCTCTATCACTTCAGGTGGTTCTAAATCTGTTCAGGTCAAGCTCCCTGGAACTTTTATTTGTTCCTAGGACCACATGCCATACAATGGCATGATCCCTAATAGCTAGACTGTTTGACATCTGCTTTTCATCTCTGTTAGATGCTACAAAACGGCTTCTCAATAATTAAGATCATTAGACTACTTGCTGGATGCTAATGCTTTCCTTATTGTTGTGTGTCATTTCCAATTTGCATAGACCCTCTTACAGCATATAGTACCGAGTTTGCACAGGGTTATCATTAACGTTTCTTATATGTCTTTGAATACTAAACATTAATGCATGGCGTCTCTGTATCCGAGCTTTACTGGTCATATTTATGTCCCTGTTTCTGTGTAACTTATGAGAATACCAGTTTGCACAGGCTGCAAGATTCCATAGGCTCAACCTGCATGGAACACTCACTGTTGCAAGTTCACACTAAATCTAACCACAAAACCTCCTATGCCAGTTATCTTTAGAAATACACTTCTTTGGATTCTCCCCTCTCTATGTTCCACCTACAATCAGAACTAGTTTTTCCCTCTCTTCTGAGCAAACACTCTCCTCTCGGGTGCTCTTAAATTCAGATCAAACTCTTAAGCTATGTATTTAAATCCTTACAAACACACTATGACAATATCTAAAAGATATTTTTGGGTCCAGCACTAGAGCACTAAAAGAATTTTTGGGTCAAAATTTATCTCCATTTTATTTGCAAAAAAAATTAAAATCTACTTTTCTCCACTCTCTGCGCGATAATACATCTAGTGAGTCTTGAAGCCATGACTTTACTATAAGGTGCTTTTACTATTTGCTCCTGTCTCTAAATCACCCTTGTCTGTGCATACCTATTTGTATACCTAGATCAGTTTTCCTAGCTTATCCCAAGGGAAGATCATTTTCCATAATTATTCTTAATGAAGCACTCCAATTCATTTATGCTTCTACTGAGATCCTACTCAAGTTCTAACTCCTAACTTATTCTCAGTGCATGCTAGTAGTAGCACGTTGCTGGTGCTTGTGAACATCTTAGGGCCTATGAGGAAAGGATAGCTGATTATATATGCAGCGGTTTCTAAACTTGGTGTCCCTTCAATCATTGAAACTACTTCCTTTTGTCTGGGTGAAACTGTCCAAGACTGTTTACAAAGCCACATGCCCAAAGCAACAAGTACTGTTCTTGCAAGCACAATGTGGGCCATGCACACTGATTTGATGCAGCGTAATATCCCAAAATGGCCACCAGGATTAAAATTTCTGAAATTTAGGCCTGTATTTAATATTTTTGAATAAGCTTTTCAAATGATTTCATATTTATGGATAAACTTATTAAAAAAAAAAAAATATTTTAATATTTTGAAATTCTTTATATATTTTTTATTATACATGTTCTATTTTTATAGTTGAATTTTTTGGGGAATTTTTATTTTTAAAGCCCTGCTTTCACCCGGAGGGCTGGCGGGCGCACGATGGAGCACTCTCCCCTGAGTGCTTCCTCTTCAGCTCCCTCGCGCAGCGCACTGATACCGGAGCCGGAAGATGACGTCATCTTCCGGCTCCGGCATCAGTACGCGGCGCGAGAGGAAGCCGAACAGGAAGCACTCAGGGGAGAGTGCTCCCTCGCACGCCTGCCAGCCTGCCTGCCTGCCCGCCAGGTGTCACCTCTGGACCCCAGGGAATCCCCTCAGCACTCCCTAAGGTAAGGAGGCTGGGGAGATTATTATTTTTTTTAAACGGGAGTGTGTGTGTCAGTGTTAGTGTGTGTCTGTGTTGGTGTCTGTTAGTGTGTGTGTGATTTATAAGTGAGTGAGTGACTGTGTGTGTCTGTTAGCTAGTGTGTATGCGTCTGTTCGTGAGTGTGTGTGTCTTAAGCACTTACCTTTCTCCAGCACCGGACTCTCTTGGCGCTGGGAATCTCTCCGCCCCGATCCGCCTCTCAGCTCCGAATGTGCATGCGTGGCAAGAGCCGCGCACGCATTCAAACCGCCCATAGGAAAGCGTGCGGGGGGGCCACGGATCAGTTTTCGCACCGTGGCCCCATAGGTTGTGTGTACGCCACTGATTCCAAAGATGGGGTCAGATCAGAAATGTAAATATAAAAAGTTCCCAGGAAAAAGTGATGCAAATTCGCATGATCCCATTTTACTAAAATTACCTTCTATAATTTTATGGGTTTTTATTTATTTTTCTTTCAGTTTTACACTATAATATCAGTTCAGATACGAGAAGAAAGACCGGGACACATGCAAGATTCTACTTTTTATCAAACGGAACAATGGATGTGATTTCAGGAGCTATCAACATTCTGCAGCGGATAGCAAATTGTAAAACATACCAGGCTTTCATGCGGGTAATTTTAAACATGTTCCCTTGAAATCTAAATCAAGGTTGCTTCCTGTCTTTGGCAACTAGACTTGTTCATAGATCACATAAAAACACACAAGAGGAGAATTGCTTTCTATAAATTGATTTATCTCTATCATATCTATTTTCTAAGAAACTATTGACATTTGCCACAATGGTTCGTGTTATACACCTGCTTAGAGAATGTCTTTCTCATGAATAATGCAATTTTTACTTGTCACATCAATGAACTTTGTGACTGTTTTTTTTTTCTATGTATCCGTTTCCAAGATTACTTAGTCATTAAGATACGGTTACAATTTGTATTAAAGGAGTATTCCAGACTGGAAGTGATTCTCAGTGTTTTAATGCAGGATATAGAATATCCAGTAAAATTTATGCAAAAAACAAATTCTAAAAAAAACTTAGTTCTAATGCAAGGCATGATCTCTATACATCCAAGGAAGTAGAGTGACCAACCACAAGCCTGTATTCTGCTCCATAGAGCCTGACATTTTAGACATATTTCACCTTGTAGTGCAAAGGTTAAAGTGTAGATCGGTACACGCAGTTTAACTCTGTTTGCAGAAGTTAGAAATCTGACAGTAAATAACCTACACAGAAGAGATAACTAGAACCTGTGTCTCTTTTACCCTCAAATCTGATTACCACAAACTCGGTGTTCACTGTGTGTACAGAGTGTAGTAGGATGGAGATGAGTAGCAGATTTCAAAGTTCTATGTGCACAGCTTCCATTCTGTTAGTCCAGGGTTTCTGGAATGCGCAGTTTGGTTTTCCACTCATGTAAGCTGTTGCCTGAACTACAAATTCAAGAAACTTTAGCTGTGTCTCCTGAGTGTAACGTTGTTATTGGAGAAAATACTTCCAGGTAGGAGAGTAGTGAAAAAAGGGCACGCTTATGGAGCTGTGATATCACGTTCTGAGTACATTAACCAGCAAGAATGAAGTGGTTTGTTGTGTTTCAGATGAGGAAGAGTAAGATGCAGAATGCACAATTGTGTGTTTTGTTTGTTTGCTTTTTTTTTAAATAAAATGATACAGAATTTAACATGCAAAAATACAGCTAATTATTAAGGCTGCAAGATAAAAATGCATAAATAAAGACAACGTTGGTTCTAGTCAAAGTGTCGCATCACAAAAGTAAGAAAAGTATATCCAGTACAAATGCACATGGAATGTAATTGATTTGGTTTCTGTTTTAGAAAGATGTGCGGGATATTCTTACTCCAATACACATGGAAACCCGTTATCATCTTGGAGAACATATAGTGTATAAGAAAAGTAAGAGAAATGTGCAAACATTTACCCCACTCCAACCAATTCTTCAGCAGCAAGAAAAAAGTGACCGTGTAATAAGACATGTGGTAAGAAAATATTGTATTATTTTATGTTTAGTACATCATTTTATTTTTTTTATTTGTTTTCCCTCTTAATTCTCTTAATTATAAATGTAGCTTCCACTGTACAGTATACTGGCTAGGACATGCAAAGTAAACCAATTTTAACTTGCTCAATATGGTATAAAATAGAGGTTTATTAGACACAGTGCAATTGTTGAAGACTGACTAGACAGTATATATGATGACTGAAGGCGAGTTAGACAGTGACATACAATGATTTGAAGGTTGGCTAGACCGTGTATACAATGATTTGAAGGTTGGCTAGACCGTGTATACAATGATTTGAAGGCTGGCTAGACCGTGTATACAATGATTTGAAGGTTGGCTAGACCGTGTATACAATGATTTGAAGGTTGGCTAGACCGTGTATACAATGATTTGAAGGCTGGCTAGACCGTGTATACAATGATTTGAAGGCTGGCTAGACCGTGTATACAATGATTTGAAGGCTGGCTAGACCGTGTATACAATGATTTGAAGGCTGGCTAGACCGTGTATACAATGATTTGAAGGCTGGCTAGACCGTGTATACGTGTATACAATGATTTGAAGGCTGGCTAGACCGTGTATACAATGATTTGAAGGTTGGCTAGACCGTGTATACAATGATTTGAAGGCTGGCTAGACCGTGTATACAATGATTTGAAGGCTGGCTAGACCGTGTATACAATGATTTGAAGGCTGGCTAGACCGTGTATACAATGATTTGAAGGCTGGCTAGACCGTGTATACAATGATTTGAAGGCTGGCTAGACCGTGTATACAATGATTTGAAGGCTTACCGCATGATTTGAAGGCTGGCTAGACCGTGTATACAATGATTTGAAGGTTGGAAGGTGAAGGCTGGCGCTAGACCGTGTATACAATGATTTGAAGGTTGGCTAGACCGTGTATACAATGATTTGAAGGCTGGCTAGACCGTGTATACAATGATTTGAAGGCTGGCTAGGCCGTGTATACAATGATTTGAAGGCTGGCTAGGCCGTGTATACAATGATTTGAAGGCTGGATACACCGTGTATACAATGATTTGAAGGCTGGCTAGACCGTGTATACAATGATTTGAAGGCTGGCTAGACCGTGTATACAACGATTTGAAGGTTGGCTAGACCGTGTATACAATGATTTGAAGGTTGGCTAGACCGTGTATACAACGATTTGAAGGCTGGCTAGACTGTGTATACAATGATTTGAAGGCTGGCTAGACCGTGTATACAATGATTTGAAGGCTGGCTAGACCGTGTATACAATGATTTGAAGGCTGGCTAGACCGTGTATACAGTGATTTGAAGGCTGGCTAGACCGTGTATACAATGATTTGAAGGCTGGCTAGACCGTGTATACAATGATTTGAAGGCTGGCTAGACCATGTATACAATGATTTGAAGGTTGGCTAGACCGTGTATACAATGATTTGAAGGCTGGCTAGACCGTGTATACAATGATTTGAAGGTTGGCTACAATGTATGTATAATCATTTGAAGGGTTGGCTAGACTGCATATACAATGATTTGAAGGTTGGCTACAATGTATGTATAATCATTTGAAGGGTTGGCTAGACAGCATATACAATGATTTGAAGGTTGGCTAGACAGTACATATAATTATTTGAAGGTTTGCTGGACAGTATATGCAATGACTGGAGGTTGGCTAGACTGTATGTATAATGGTTTGAAGGTTGGTTAGACAGGTTATCAAATGCTTATGTTTTGCTTGTGCAGCAAATACATTGCCCAACTAATATATAAAGCAAGATAAGGAGGGAAAGACAACAGACTACACAACCCTCCCCAGCACAAAACATATTGTGGCCTAAAGTGCTGTTACTAAATCTTTGGATATACTAATATGTCCTAAACGGTTAAGTGGTGTTACGGTGAAAAGAGTATGAAAGATCAGAGGTTGACATGAAATGCCAAGCCTGGTTACAAACAAGTCTATAAAAAAAAAAGGGTCTAATGTGAAGAAAAAAAAAACCAACACTTTACTCAACTCCAAACACATTGCATAGGGTTGTAATAACACAGACAGGATGTCGTTATCTTGTAAATTCAATGGAATGTGACCCATGAAGCAGAAAGTATCACACTAAAATACAGTTTACCGGAAAACACAAAAAGGATAAAAAAAAAAAAAAAACCAAGGAAGCTCGGGATTGTTTAAATTTATATTTGGGAAGATATCCAATCTGGGCATGAATGAAAAATTATCACTTTTGAATGAAATCCATGACTCTGCATGTTTTATTGTATAAATGTCAAAGATAACTTTAAATGGGGTTAACAAGATAGAGACATATCAGTCCTTTGTGAGATTTCTATGCTATGGAACCTCCTGTTTTGTTAGTGACTGTTGTTGAATGGTAAAACGCATTGGGTGTTATATAAGAAATATAAAATTATTTTCAACAGATGAGGTTAAAGTTGCCCCAAAACCTAAAGCAAAAAAAACAAAAAAACCCTAAACAACTTTTAAGAAATATCCATAATTTGACAAAAATCAAGTCAGTAACCTTCAATTTTTTAATGTGTTGCTTGGGTTACAAAACTTTAGAAACTACAATGGAAATTTGCAGAAAACGAACTATTCAAATAAGAAATATTCTATTAAAATGTTAAATGTCTCTTGGCCTTTATTGCAGTCAGATATTATATGGGTATATTAAAATATGCTCTGAATAGTGAGTAGAGTCGTTTTCCATTTACTCCAGGGTTAAGTCTTCTGTCATATCTGGGATGGTTTCTGTTCTCTCTCCAGGAGTTTAAATCTTCCAGCTTAATTTAAAGTGTTAATCTTATGTTATATGCTCTTACTAAATTCACTATTCAGAAAGCAGCTCACAGTTTCAAGTGTGTGTCTTCTGAAAAGACAATCCCTATATATCATGTTCTTGGCTGAATATTTTTTGTCATGTAATTGTGCATGTGGCCCCTGCACTCCCCACCATATCACACCATGCAGAACGACACTGTGCATCATTCTGCAATTGTGTCAGAGACACAGCCACTACAATGTTGCACCCTCCAACACAGCTCATAATTTTACATATGATAATTTCAGTGCATCATCTGTGCTACTTAGCCCAAAGATACTCTAGTACCGCACATTTCACCCCAACCAATGAGCAACCAGTCAGCACTATATAAGCAGTGTACATGGATGGGTGTTTTGGCCTGTTGTGCCTTCTTTATACAAGAGAGTACATTAAAACAACCAGCTAGTTCTTTGCACAGCAATGCACGTGCATGATCAAGTCTAATATCTAGCAAAAAGATTGATGTATAATAATGTAGAGAAAATAAAGGGTTACATCTCCTAGGAAACCGCAATTTAATTAATGCGTATTTTCTTAATACATTTTATATAATAAACAGTTTCAGGATTTAGGCCACACTGCACCTTGGCCATCGATGGGGTATAGAGGGATAAGTCGGCATTCTGTCATAACCAAAATGAGCAGAGCCAGGGATTTTGTGATATCTTCAAAACGTCCAGTTTGCCACTGTCTAATTGTAGCATTCTTGTGGACTTTAATCATGGAACACGTTTTATCTGATTGACGTGACAAGGTTTGTTTGTGAAATGGCTTTACATTAATTTCATAGCATGATCTAGAAATACAGTAAGCATTAGTATATAGCCTCTTTATAATGAATCCGTTAATGTTACCTGTTGTATATTTTCATATCCTCATGTTTAGTTTTTGTGATCTTTACAGGTAACCTTTGCAAGATACTGTGGTTTACCCAACTGCTCTGCGGACTTGCAGATCTCTGGCAAATTCTCATTTCCAAAGTAAGTGTACATTAAGCTTTAAATATTTAAATGGACAGTCAACCTAAAGTAGACACTTTCATTATTAAGTGATAACAAAGGGGGGAATTCAGCACTTGTAGATTACTGGTATTGTTTAAAGGCAGCTTAGTCTCCAAGTCCAGGATCTCTCTTGTCCGGTAGAGGAAAAAGAAGAAGCGGAAGGATGGTGTAGCACCTAATATGTCCTTGAAGATATGTGGAATGATAAAAAGAAAAACTAATAGTGTAGTATGTAAAATACAATTGAAAAAAAAATTCTAAAAATAAGCCACTCACACTTTTTGGGAGCTTAGGTGCAGCTCCGACTTTAGCGCTTGGGCAGAATGATTCCCGCCCAGGGATATAAAGTGGTCTACAGGTCTGCGAGTGGTCCTCCTCTAGATCGATTTTCTCATAAACATGAGGGGGAAAAATTGAAATAATATGGTGCAGAATGTCAGACCAGAATAGCAGAAAATAAAGCAGAGTAATAAATGTCCACTCACATATTTTGGAGCCAAAACGTCGGCTCCCCAATATAGCGTGGAGTGGTATGATCCCCACTTTAGGATATAAGTGGTGATGGTGTCTCTCCGTGTACAAACATAGAAGAGAAGAAAACCACAATAGTGTGTAACTGTAAAACATTTATTTTAAATGTACCGACATGTAGTGGAGCAAAATAAGGTTTGCTCCATCTAATGGGCGTACGTGGTTTTATGTCCCCACCAAGGATCTAGGCGTTAATGAATCCAGCAACAATCAGTAAGGTCCTATAAAAAAGTAATTTTATTTATAAAAACAAAAGATAAAACAATCAAAAGTAAAATAAACAATCATAAAATACACTTTTGAGAAGCCAGTTGTTGGTGAAACACATTAAGTGTATTTTACGCTTTCAGGATAAGGCTGCTGAAAGTGATGACATCACAATAGAGTTATGTTATTTGAGCAAAAAAAAATTATAAAAAAAACCTTTAGTACCCTAGCATTCTGTATGGCTGTACAAAAGGGAAATAAGTAGAACATTTAAATTTTGCATTTGGTATACATCGACAATGCTGTAATAAAAATATACTGTAGCATTTGGTCCTTAAAGGGTTAATAAAAAAAAGCAAAACACACACACAACTAGCATCACGAATGGGAACCTAACATACACATTGCGCCTAATGCGTGTTAGTACCTGGAGTGTCTCTCTAATAGCGTTTTTGGTCGATACTTACATTCACGGTTATGGAATTAGTGAATTAGCAAGGGCTAACAATCTTGACATTTAGCATCACTACACCGTGGCTTTCATTGATATATTTACAGCTTTATATTGATATCTATACCTATTTCACTCTTACGATAACTCTCTATTGTCATTAAAAAAAAAATCAATGAGATAATAGTGACCACTTGGTTAATATAAAAAGAGGAAGTATATAAGGCCAATAGAGAATCTATTTCCCCACTCCTACAGAAAACTGTCACTTCCCTTAGTTCTTATTCTAGAAAGAATATGTCTTAACAGGTCAATAACAGCAGAATATCACTTTTCTATAAATCGTAATTACCGGTCACACAGCTTTATTCAAATTTACATCCCTCTGAACCATCGAAAGTCGTTGCTTCAGGAAGCTGTCAATCGCAGCTTGTTGTTGGGGTGTCCGCTCTATTTTGTGTGCCCACCCACAGTGCGTGATTTGGGTGTCTGGGAATGGCACATCTACAGTCTTGCAGCTTCCATTCTCTCTGGGGATATAGAGTTTGGTAACACCTGCCTCTCCTTGTATTTCAACAACAGTGCCACATGATATTCAGCTGGTTTCATAGCACAAACTATAATTGCACGGTTCTGCCACTGCTGCAAATCTAATATTCGTTTAATCCAAAAATAATGGTAATTGAGGTCTAGAAATTCCAAATGCAGACATGACACATATGGCAGATTTGTTATATTTCTGCGCTCTCTGCATAGCGACATTTGTATGTATAATTGTAAGCTCTCCGGAAAATGTAGAGAAGGCTTCCCTTGCTCTAAGATCTGATATATATCAAGAATAATATACCTAAAAAGATTTTAAAAAGTAAAAATTTTAATTACTGGACATAAAAATGTAATAAACTATCTAACTTTATTTGACATGGACAAATGATGTTCTATAAAACGTTTATATAATTTTTTTTGAATTATATATAATACTCACTGTCCACCCCTTACCAGTGTCACACATTTATTTAGTAGCCAGTGTTAACCAGAAAAATGGGGAGCATTCATGTGTGTGCTGCAATAGCATTAACTTCCAGAGATAGCATCCATGGATGATGTAACAGTTTGCATGCAGTGTTTATAGCTAATATTGACCGACCACTTACATGACAACAGGTTATATTTTTACATAAGGGGGATCTGTATGCATGAAAACACTCCATAACATGTAACAATTAATAGAAATATCTCAACATAAGTCTTCGTTCTTTTTTTTTTTTTTCTGATACTGAGCATTGTGTATCATGACATCATGTCCAATGATCTCTTCTGAGAATTGGCATCTCCTGGCATACGGCTGCTATTCTTGGTGGCCATTTCCACTGGGATACATGTGCCTGGCTAATGAGCGATTTGATAAGACTGCAGGTCTTGATTGAGGGACCTTTATTCTCAACAAACAAGAAATCCCTTTTCTTCCCAGGGAATTTGGTTGTCCTGGAATACCTGCCGTGATATGCAGAAGGGGACTCCATAGTCCTCTAGCAAGGCCGTGTGTGTTTGTATACAAATTAATTATATGCCAACATATTCAGCATTTCTGTACAATAGGTGAATGTGCAGTATGAACAGGAATAGGTGTGAGGACCTTACCGTCTGAGGGGGTGGGGTATAGTTAAGCAAAACATAATTGTAAAATACATTTCATATATAGCTAAACTGGTTGCAAGGAGAGTTTATCATAAATACAGGTTCCCTTTTATATTTCATGGCTGGGATACTGCTGGCATGGCTCATCTCCATTCTGATCCATACATATCTATTCAGCAGATTCTCACATTAGAGACCCCTCTCTAGTGTTGAATCATTCCTCTCTTACTGGCTCTATTATACTCTCCCCCAGTCTCCATTACTTCTGTAAAGGGACCCTATAGCATCCAGACCACGTCAGCTCATTGAAGCGATCTTGGTGCAATGCCCCTGTCCCCTTAACCCTGCAATTGTAATTATTGCAGTTTCTGAGAAAACTGGATAATTTAAATTGCAGGGTTAGGACTGCCTCTAGTGGCTGTCAAACAGACAGCCACTAAAGGCACTTCCTGGTGGTTAGGCTATGTTTGCATGAGGACATCCAGTATCAAGCAATGCTTTTCTATTGCGAGAGCCTAATGCGCTCATGGCGCTTGCCGTCAGTTAAACCGTTAACAGTCTTTATCCCTCTCTACTTCCCACACTTCACTAACCTGCCAGCTGTATCACTTAATATTAGCAAACCTTGTATCCCTAAAGTAATATTTGTTTTTTTCAAACTGTAAGTTCCCCATGTATGTCCCCATTGTCCAGTTAATTATAAATTATACACCGCTGTTGTAGCCACCTCCTCTGCTGCCTCCTTCATTAACAAGCATGCTGACATCTTCCGTGTTTTTGTCCAATCCAACACTTCTCATAGATAAGTGCATGCTAGGCGAGCATTGCCCTCATCCTTCCAAATTCTTCTCACAGCACTGAATCCAATGTTTCCCTATGATCAGAATTTGATTACGTTCACTGTCAACTTCACATAACCGAGTCAAACTCTGCTATTCCTGTGGAAGCACCTTCAGGAAGACAGCCACTAGTTGTGTGTTTAGCCATGTAATGAAGACATTGGTGTAGCTGTAAACGAGCAATATTTTACATTACAGGACTAAACCTGCAGGGACACTGCCTATAATCGAATCCTTATGGCCGAACAATCTGCAGTATGCATAGGAATAATATGTACAGAACAGATAGTGCACTGTGTGTTTGGTCACATGCTTCTTTTTCAAATTCCAGTGCTGGTTTTATCTCAAAACAGTGTTCAGGGGGAACACTGGAAATTCACAGATTCTTGATACAGCATTCCAAGGGTTAAGTATTCGTGCTGTAAAATGATATTCTCTGAGTGCTCTATCTGGACTTCTTGCATATTAAGCTGATCTTAAGTAGATAAATACATTTCACAAGCTTGCCTTGTTTTTTTTCAAATAATGATTTCAAGTAATTGTGACTGCGTATTCAATATGTTTCTCTGTAATATGCTGTTGTCTTTGAACCTGGCTGTTTGTGCACGTTCCCACCTTCTACTGCTTGTCTCTGTGCCAGCTACTCTCCCCAAGGTGAGCAACGAGTAATGCCTTGGTTTTCAGCCAAATCATTCTATTATATGTCAGTTTCTATTGCAAGTTCAACTGACATTTTTCACGAGACGAGAAAGGAAATAAAAACAGCTACATCTATGTACCAGCTCCAGTTAAATAAAGAGGTCTGTCATTGTTTTACGAATTATGCTTTTGGGTTTTTCTTTTTCTGTGTTGCAACACCATAATCACTATCGTGTCTGTTCAGTAAAACGGTAAATATCGGAAAGTAATGAACTGAAGAGCTTGACTAATCCTTTTAGAGAGGCCTATTTCCAGAACACCCCAATACTTACATGATTAGTTGCTTAGCCACACACCAAAACCGCCAGTCATCAATAAAAAGAAGGAAAATGCAGACTGAATTGTGATAGACACAAATAGGGCTATTCACTTAAGTGAGAATTCCAAGTGAAATAAAAGTGAATTTTAGATTTAAGATCAAAATAGCTGAACTGGAAAATTTCTAGAAGTCAGATATGCTTTCAATTCAACTACTCTGGCCTTTAATTTAAATTCACTTTGAATTTACGTAGAATTCTTGCTTTAGTAAAATAACCATGTATATTAGTCATTACCATGCCAATAGATCTGAATCTACTACAACTAAAACTAAAGGGAGCTTGCTTTTCCTACAGAGCAGCCTGCCCCCGGGCCACATAATGTTGGACAGAGCACACATCTGTTTTAAAAAAAAATAAAAAAAATAGATATCATGTTAATTGTCAACAATTTAGCAAAATTAGAAGGAAAAAAAATCACAGGATGTCTAGCAGAAGTATTTTTTTAGTAAAGGGTTCACCAATTTCCACCTATAAGAGTAGTGTTTCATCCTATATACGAAAAGAAAATTGTCCACAGCTTACTTAAGGGAGGAAAAATGCATAGAAAATGTGTGGATTTGGAGTGCGTATTTAATGGCTAGATCCTTTCTGTGTATCTGCTATGAGCTGCCCGCAGCTCCCTTTAATGTATGATACAGGTAAATATTTCTTAAATTAGTCAGACTGTATTGGAATTGTCAGAAATATAGACAGGGCAACAATGTTTTCTGGGGCATCTTGCCAATTTGCCAGATTGCAAATGAAAATACTGATACATGTCTGCTTATTTTTTTCCAGAGCTTTTGAAAACAAAACGTACCTTGTAGTTGGAGGCTCGAAGACTTTAATGATCAATGTTTCTCTGTACAATGCTGGAGATGATGCATATCAGTCTTCCCTACAGATGCGACTCCCCAAAGGAGTTAACTTTATAAAAGTTCTGGACTTGGTAAGCGTTTAATCTTCAGTTCAGCAGTGATACACTGAATGGGCTAGACAGTAGTGTGGACCTTTAAATGGTGGGAGATGATTTTATTAACGCTTTTGGAACATGGCATAACAGCAGTACTGTTACACTCTTCTGTAGCGTTACATAAATTTTCTGTTTAATTGCATAGCTGGCTTTAGTGAGCCAGCGGAATCTGAATAGGCATGTGACATAATCACACAACAATATGTATTCGTTATCAGCTTCTTACACAGGCTCACAGACAGACAATCTCACTGACACACACAGACAAACTTAGTACAGACAAGCTCTCTGGCACACATACAAGCTTACTACAGACAAACTCACTGATATATACACAGAAGCTTACTACAGACAAACTCACTGACACAAACATGCTTCTTATAGGCAAGCTCACTGACACACATGCTCACTACAGACAATCTCACTGACACACACACATGCTTACTGACACACATACAAGATCACTCTCACTCACAACTGTAGTGTATTTGAAGCCTACCTGACAGTGAATGATGTGGAATCCCTGGGAGGTGAAAACTCAATTTCCTGGCCTCATCCTACTGACGAGTTCCGCTTCTTGAGGCTGGGGGTGGAGCTTGAGAGCAGGGGCAGAACTTCAGTGCAGGACAGAGCAGGAGAGGCACCGAAAACTCCCTCCCTGCAGTGCTCCCTCCGGACTCCGGCAGCCTTAATGTGGCTGCTCCAGCCCCCAGCACTTTCCTCCATAATTCTCTCAGACTGGGAAATTATTTAAATGGTAGTATGGCTGCCTTTTCAGACCCAAGTGCTGCAGCTCACCGGGAAATTTCCCGGGATCCCGGTGGGCCAGTTCCTGCTCATGTGTCAACATTATTGGCAAATAGAGGGGATATATTGCAAAAGAATGTTTATGGTTTATAAGACATTATCTTGGACAAGGAAACAATTCTAATAAAGTTTTTAGGTTGCTGGAAAAAAAGATGTGTTACTAGTGTATTATTAGACCATAGAATTCTAAAAGGTTACATCTGCCTTGCTGGGATTCAAAGCTGCAAGCTGAACATTTGAACAGTTACTACAGTGTGTTCTTTAACCAGCTAATCCATCTCACCTGTCTATTAGTTTGTCACATAGACTCCTATAATGTAAGCCAATATAGCATCAGTAAGTGTTGTGCTCTTGAAAATGCTTATCACCTTTCTGTTAAAACAGAAAAATTATATTTTGTTTCATAGCTTCGGGCACATGACATTATTTTTAATTTTTATTTGCAGCCTGAAAAACAGATAAACTGTGATGTTAATGAAGAAGAAAATCAGCTGATAACATTGTCTTGCAGTGTTGGTCTCTACTATGTCGATTCACATTCAAAGGTACGTTAAACATTAGTATACAATTGTCTCAATCGAAAACTGTAGCTTTGAATTACACAGTTGCCTCACTCTGCAGGCTGAAAAATCGATGTACATTCTTTTTTTTTCATATTTTCCTGCTTCTACTCCTTCTTTCTTATGCTTTCCACACCCACTCCAGGGAGGACACTGATCTAACCAATCAGTGTCCTATCCCTAGGGATGCTGGAAAAGTGCACTGGGCATGCCTGACAGATTGACACATGTGCAGTTGGAAGATCTCTTCACCTTGAAAAATCCTGACAAGGAGAGAAGAGAGGAAGTCTGAACAGTGAGGTCATGCAGAGAAGGCTCCAGTGTTGGGTTTTTCTGTTGCTGCACAATGATTCCCTGTTTCGTCATTAGTGGACTGGTCTAAAACCGAGATGGGTCTTTAAGGTGGGGAGGAGGAAGCTGAATAAACTCTACTAGATGCATGCCTTAAAAAAAAATAAAAAAATTAAAAAAAGTATGTAATAAATATTTATAAAGTTTTTTTTGCTTTTGACTTGTATATTTGTTTAAAAGTGTTTACTTGCTAGTTTAAAAAAAAATATTGTCAAGTGACAATATTGTCCCGTTCATACACAAGTTTTGGAGTATAGGTCATGTCCCTGCTCTGCCCAATGCCCTGCCATTTAGAAATTAAATCACTTGTGTTTCTGTTTATGAAGCCATAGTCACACTTCCCCTGGCTGTGACTTACACAGTACCCATGAAAAAAAATTGTTTCATATTCAATTAGATCTAAAACGGCACAGTGTGTTTACTTTAGAAGTTATCTTCTTCTCTGTTAGTTGAACTTTAATTCCATAGGGGGCTTCAGGAGGCTCTTAGCTGGGAATTAACAGGGCAGAAGATAGGAAAATCTTAATTAAACACACCATGCAATAAAGTTTTAAAATTAATCTCTCTTTACAGGAAGTGTGTAGGGAGGATGAGTATGTCACAGGAAAGTGAGGCGTGGCCAGGGCTGCATAAACAAAGTGATTTAACTCCTAAATGGCAGAGAATTGAGCAGTGAGACTGTAGGGCCATGACCTTATATCAAAACGGGTTTATTAAGCTAAAGTAAGTTTGGTGCTTAGAATATCTTTTTAGCCATGTCATGTGTATTTCAAGAGAGTGTAATTTAAATCTATGCAGCATTTCTGTCAGTTAAAGTGAATAGATAAATCAGTCTTCCGATTTCCCTCTGCGTGGCTCCATATGTGTAATAACTGTAGAGCTGTGCTATGATAGCATTTCCTGTTATCATTTCCTGTCGCATTTCCTGTCACTTTATGTCTTCGAATGGCTCTCTAGTCCTTTGCATTACACCACCAGGGACAAAATGGGAATGGTTAGTCCTCCATATTTTTTCATACATGGGTGCACACCTGCAATATCCCCTTTTAACTTATTTTTGCCCTAACTGTTAACTGTTTACCATTACTTAAAAAAAAAAAAAAAAACCTTAACCCCTTAAGGACACATGACATGTGTGACATGTCATGATTCCCTTTTATTCCAGAAGTTTGGTCCTTAAGGGGTTAAAGGAAAACTAGAATAAGAGGAAAGAATTATATGAACAGTAAAAAAAAGTTTTACGATAAACAGTTTCCTGTACTTGTTGCAATATCTCTTACGTTACCTGCTATCTAAACACCATTACAAGAGCCTTTTGGCTTTACTAAATGCAGAGGAAGAGAAGTGCTTGACCCTCGATCAACCACACGATATCTCTCTGCAAATTAAAAACACACTAGTCTTATGGCGTCTAAAACCATGTGAGTATGTTGATAACTATACGATGTAGTCATCACTAATCACTAATGAAACAATTATTCCATGCCAATGTAATGACTTATAATATGATCACTAGAAAACAGTTGTACAATGTATATTTAAAAAAAATAAAAATAATTAAATAATAATAATAAAAAATATATATAGTTATTTTTCTTTTTTCGTTATATATTGGACATTTATTATATTTTTGATATATTTTATTACAGTATACATGATTCCAGCGGCATGGAATAATTTTGCCTTGAAATATTACCAACTCGTATAGATGCCAATAGCACAGAAGTCTTTCATATGACATAAGGTGCCAATATCAGAAAAGGGCACAAATCCAAGATTCATAAAAATTACACTTTTTTTTATATTACCTGGTCAAAATGTGAAATTCGTGAAAATGTTAAATGTGCTTTACTATTCCTTTAAAATGATTATTATTTTCTATCTGCCATTTCATATCAATGGGTGTTCGAGCCAGCAGACTTGGAAACATGCTAATATGAATACTTTGTTTCATTTCATACAGCAAGACATTTCATTCCTCCTGGATACAAGTTCCCTCAGCAAAGCAGAAGATGATCTTTTAATCAACATTACAGCAAACTGGTAAATGTTTTCACATGACAATAATTCTGGTATTGTTGAATGGGTAAGGCAGTGGCTGAGTGACAGGCAACAGAGGGTTGTAGTCAATGGGGTATATTCAAAGCTTGGGCTTATCACCAGTGGGGTACCTCAGGGATCTGTACTTGAACCCATTCTCTTTAATGTTTTTATTAGTGATATTGCAGAAGGTCTTGATGGTAAGGTATGTCTTTTTGCTGATGACACTAAGATATGTAACAGGGTTGATGTTCCAGGAGGGATAAACAAAATGGCAAATGATTTAGGTCAACTAGAAAAATGGTCAGAGTTGCGGCAACTGACATTTAATGTGGATAAGTGTAAGATAATGCATCTTGGACGTAAAAATAATTATTTCTGATGAGTTAAAGGTAAGCAGACAATGTAATAGAGCAGCAGGAAATGCTAGCAGAATGCTTGTTTGTATAGTTAGAGGTAATAGCAGTAGAAAGAGGGAAGTGCTCATGCCATTGTACAGAACGCCATAGGCGTGCGCAGCCTATTGCATTAGGGTGTGCACCCTAAAGCACAAACACATGCCGTGTGTATATGTATGTATGTGTGTATATGTATGTGTGTGTATGTGTATGTGTATATATATATATATATATATATATATATATAATATATACACACACACACACAGCAAGGTGCTGTTAGTGTGATGTGCGAGGGTGATGTTAGTGTGATGTGTGAGGGTGCTGTTAGTGTGGGTGCTGTGTGTGTGTGTGAGGGTGCTGTGTGTGTGATGTGTGTGGGTGTTGTGTGCTGTGTGTGTTTGTGTGCACTGTATGTTTTGAGGGATTGTGGGGGTGGAGGTGGGGGCACATTAGTTAATATCCCCCCTCCCTTCTTACCTTATGTAGGGAGGGGGGATCCTTGCTGCCATGTGCCATCCCTGGTGGTGCAGTGGAGAGTCTACTCTAGCATGCGGGGCTAGAGTTCACTCTCGCGAGATCTGAGCGTTGCCGCGGCAAAGCTCCAACCTCGCGAGGGAAACCCTTCGGAGCTGCTGGCCAGAGCTCCCCGGGTCCTCCCCTGCTTCCCTCCATGCTGCTGTGTGCCAGTGAGGGATCTCCCCAACGGCCAATGGAGGCTTAGAGCAGAGCCGGCGCTCGGATAGCACCGGCTCCACATGAGCCGACAGGGGAGATCCTGAGATCTCCCCTGCCGGTCTCAATCCATAGGCGTGCCCAGGCACACCCGGCACACGCCTATACAGAACACTGGTGAGACCTCACTTGGAGTATTGTACACAGTACTGGAGACCATATCTTCAGAAGGATATTCATACTTTAGAGAGAGTTCAGAGAAGGGCTACTAAACTGGTTCATGGATTGCAGGATAAAACAAGGAAAGGTTAAAGGATCTTAACATTTATAGCTTGGAGGAAAGACGAGGCAGTGGGGATATGATAGAAACATTTAAATACATAAAGGGAATCAACACAGTAAATGAGGAGACTATATTTAAAAGAAGAAAAACCACAATAAGAGGACATAGTCTTAAATTGGAGGGACAAAGGTTTAAAAATATCAGAAGGTATTATTGTGACAGAGCGCTGGCACACTGTCACTTGGGCATCAAGGGCTCCTTTGTTTGGGTGGGCTCTGGTGGGGAGTGGCCATTTAGACCGCACAGACTTAGACCTAGACACAACATGGAGAGACTAGATGGCGCCAAACCAGAGATTGTGTGACCAAGAGGGTGGGGGTTGAGACTTTCCCCTTTGTGATTCAGGAAACAGTCACCTATTGTTGACTGTGTGTTAATCACTTTACCTAATGCATAATTTTTTCCTGTGTATGCAAAGTAGGTGTTCTGTGATGGTGTGTTCTATTGGTTATTAATGGGCTTAGTGCGAATGGCTGTTTTATTAGGTCCAGTTTGATTGGTTGCTGTTTCAAACCTTTGTGTGTTTACTAATTAGTTTACTTGTATATAAATACCTGAGTGTGTCTAATAAAAATGAGTCCCTGTTCTACCCTCAAGCTGTGGGTGTCTGCTGTTCTTGGGAGAGAGGTGTTAGCTGACTGAGTCTTTTTTTGAACAGGCTGACATTTGTGATTTGGCGGTGGGAAGAAGCTGTTCAGACGAGTGTATTCAGTTGGGGCACAGGGGACCCATCACAATTATTTTACTGAGAGAGTAGTGGATGCATGGAATAGCCTTCCAGCTGAAGTGGTAGAGGTTAACACAGTAAAGGAGTTTAAGCATGTGTGGGATAGGCATAAGGCTATCCTAGCTATAAGATAAGGCCAGGGACCTAATGCAAGTATTTAGAAAATTGGGCAGACTAGATGGGCCGAGTGGTTCTTATCTGCAGTAACATTCTATGTTTCTATATAGAAAATATATAATTTGTTTAGATAGTGAGAAGAAAAGTGCCATTCCTTAAAATTAAAGGGACACTATAGTCACCAAAACAAGTTTATATAGAGATTATGCCCCTGCTGTCTCACTGCTCAATTGTCTGCCATTTAGGAGTCAATTCACTTTGTATATACAGCCCTAGACACACATCCCTGCATGTGACTTACACCTCCTTACGTGGGACTCCGAGTAAGAAGTCAAATTGTCTGAGGCCGATGTTGAGGCCGAGTTGTTGTCTGTTAGCATCCACATGTCTATTGGTCTAAATGTATTTGTTCTGGTTCATTCATAGTGAAAATGAAGTAAACCAAGACATGTTATCGAACAATGTTGTCACTTTGGTCATACCAACAAGAAATGAGGTCAATCTCAATGTCATTGGGTACGTACAGTTTATATATGCACTTTCTCTCTTTGACACTTCCCAATTTATCTTCTTTGTTTTGTGTAGTGACTCTCTGTGTCTGTGTCAGGTTTATTCAATGTTCCAGGAATACTGGAAAACAGACTGGTTAAAATAAGCCATGTCCCATTGTAAAGTGCTACCTAATTTGTTGGCGCTTTATAAAATATAATCATGTCAATCCCAAAAACCAGACAGAATTAACACATGTAATGATTACTGGAACCACAGAAGTGCAGTGTTCCATCACATTGCTTTAAATAGTGATGGGCCTTGGATATAAATATCTCAGCACAATTTAACTATTACGTTTAACTTTACCATTAAGCACGTTTGCTTTCTCATAATAATTACATGGAGCAACACAAACTCTTTAAATGAAAGCTACTTCAGTTTCACATGTAGTAATTGATGTGCATTTCCAGTAATGTCTTTGTGATTGGATTTATATTTATGTTGTGTTCGGTTTACAGCTGTAGCACAAATAGACAGTATCAATGTTTATTATGATCAGGGGAGCACCGTTATACAGAAATTGGGAGTGGATAGATGTGTATGTGCAAACAGTATGGGGGAGATGTAGCAAAGTTTTCTGGTCTAAAAACTGGTGCAAAACTGAAAAAGAGGCGTTACCAATGGAATGTTCCTGCTGGTTTCCATGGTGATTGTCTCTTCTTTTTTTTTTAGTACCTTCGACCTCTTCTTAAAATAGTAAAGTTGATACATTACCTCAAATATCAATACAGTGATGTCAAATTGTATCACTTCAAATAAATATTGCACATCACCCAATCAAAGAATAACCTGTAATGGTTTTGAAAAATATATAGCATGTAGATATACAAATAATTACAATACAAATATATTAGTATTTAAAAAATAAAAAAAACACAGTATGGGGCACCTGTGTGTGCATTATATTGAGCATACTCACAGCTCTGGAAAAACGTGAGTGATTGAGTTGCTGATTTTAATCTGTTTTGTGCATATCCTATATTTGTATTTTAATTTTTTACAGAAATTATAAAAGTCAGAGAAGAATTATGTACAATTACATATTATATATTGTTCTTTGATTGGATGTTCAGCATTCTTTACGGTGATACATTGTGCACTTTTGCATCACATTTTTCTGGATAGTTGTTTACATGGCTGTGGAGACCCCTTTAAATGCTCCATGTATAAAAAGGATTTTCCCACTTGGTTTGGATGCACACACATTGCCGTAGTTCGATTTAGTTATTTATTTATTTTTGTATCTCAATATGTCAAAATAAAATGTAGCAAATAAACCAGAATATAATTAGTAAATACATTAGCTCATAAAAGTCTCACTAGGTGTATACATATTAGACAATGGGTATTCTGTTCTCTCCCAAATAGTGCATTATTTACACGAGTGAAAACCGATCACTTCTTATGACTTACTTAGAGTAATGTTAAAAAAACACAATAAAAAATTTGAATTATTGAGACACTGTAACATGTGGAGTGTAGTGAAAAAAATACAAAGAAAATAATGGATATTAATACAGGATATTTTCCATTGTGACCTAGAGTAAAGCTGAAATATTTATGTTTATTTTCTGAAATCTGTTATCCTTCCGCCCTTTCATGTTTATTTCGTGTACATTCACGCTAGCTAGGCAGGAGATAAAATATTAAAGGGTAAATCATGAGATAAAATTGCCCCATATTTTTAATTTATTATATAGTTAATACATTAAATAAAGAAAAAAAATGCAAAAGGGAAAAAAACAGTTCGTACTTGGACAGCAAGTGTCAGAAGGCCGGCCCCTACCTGACCAGAAGGAGGCACTCAAATCAGGAACTTCTCATTCCCAACCATGATGTCTGCTGATAACCAAGAATCCCTGTACAGGTTTATGGGATATGTAGTTAAAGTAATAATAATAATAAAGGGACATTAATTTCTCACCAACCACTTTCACTTTATTTGCCTGCAGAATGGTGTCTCCTTTATCGCTTGTGTTTGGACCCTCTGAAGAGAAAATTGTTGCCCCATGTGTTATGGAGAAGATATCATTCACTTTTAATGTAAGAGAAACATTACAGTTTATAAATAACATTCTGATTATACAATATTGTTTGCATTTATGTGAGTAAAGTATGTGCTGAGAATTACTGATTTTACCTAGATTAAGGAAATATATGTAAGCATAAAATGTTCCTTTGGTTTTAGTTTGTTATTGGAAAATACTCTGTTCTGTGTTGCTCAAAAGGGCACACTCTCTTATTTTCTGTTATACCTTGTGGCCTATAGACTAGTCTTACACTAGTCTGTTTTTTTTTTTTGTTTTTTTTGTTTTTTTTTAACTTTATACTCTAATTTGAGCTGTAGAAATTAACATTTATGGCAACATTTCCTCCTAGAATTCAGTACAGTAGATTATAGAATTAAAATGCCATGTCACCACAATTAAGCATAAAATGACAAGTTATAGAAAACACACAAAATCACATATTTTCCACCTAGGAACCCCCATAATTTATACATCCCCGGATAGCCTGTATCTGAGCACCCAACATATCCAAACAAATGCGGAAGAAGTACCGAACGCACACTCTGGCTATTTAGTAGCATTTGTTTGTATGGTTCAGACGAACAAACCTACCGAACTGCGCTCTCCTCACAGGTGTGGGAAGGAAGCAGGCGTTTGTCAAAGTTCAGCGGTGTTCGGGAGTTTCCGTGTCAAATTTTTAGTTCCATGCAATCTACACCCAAACATCGCTGCCTGCATTCCCGCGAACAAGATGGTAGCCAACCAGCCGCACAATTACAACACATGATAATTGAAGTGTCAGGAGAGGTTACCAGAGGTTAACAAGCACAGAGGTGGTCCGCAGTTCGTGAGTCTCTTCGGTTCCCAAACAGTACAAATAAATCCCATGAACCAAGTCTTTTTACCAGACTTTTCTATGGCCCATAGTCAGTGGGCAGGAGGCTAACCTCCACACTCCTCCAGGAGCCTGTGGCGAACGTCCAGGCAAGGGGGCATTCTTCAAATTGCTGATCAGAGATTCTAGCAGATTATCTGCCTTTCCACATTATACACCAATAAAAATAATAAGTACACAATCCATAGATAAATGTGGATTATCCATATTTTAGTTCTCTCTCTCATGTAAAATGTTGGACAATATAATCCACCTTTAATAATTATTTGCTACAAGGAGGATATAATGAAGTAATCATTTGGCACATAACAATCTGGAGATGCATTACTTAGATCCATGATTATCTATTGCAGGCCATGGGACTATACACCTTTTATAATAAATGTATTACTAGATGAAGACATTTCACTATTTACTAAGCACATAGGGTAGATTATATTATAACTACTAATAAAGAAATCCATATACTAACATTTTTACCATCTGAGATTCTGAGTTATTGTAATGAAAGTATCACCTTCCATTCTCAGCACTGACCATTTTCTTTGGTCTGACATTCCATTTGGAACACATGTAAATACTTTTGATTTGCCAAACAGTCTGAAATGTCTATTCTGGGACTTATGTTACTTTCAACCTCATGACACATTGCATCATCAATAGTTTGGCTGATCACGTTTTAGCTGCTAATACTTTATTTGTACCATAAAACACGTTCGAAGATAAATATGCACACTAATACTTAGCCATTTCAATTCAGGTAATCAATTCTGGATCCAGTCTTGCTCCCGGTGCCAAACTAGACATAATGATGCCCAACACATTTGCACCTAGCAAAATAAGATTGTTCAATTTGCTGGACGTCTCGGTGAGTTACACGTGATGCACAGTGATTATTTATGTAAAGAACAGAACTAAATTGAGATTTGTGAAATAGACTGAAATGTATGGCACTGCTAATAATAAAGTGTGCAAACTCGCTGACAATAGTGATTTCTATTGCTCTTGGGAGTATTGTCCCAGTGATTGATTTATGGTGGGCAATTGCATGGGTACTGGTGAATGTTTTGTTTTCTGTTTCAACTTATTTTTCTCCCCAACAATAGCATGAGGATAGGGTTTGGGGTGCAATTCTAAGAGTTGGGAACCACTGCCTAAAAATTACATTCTAAGCACTATAACCACTTCATTTCAGTGGTTATAATGCCTAGTGTCCCCTGGCAGTCTGCCTATTCAGTGTTAAATCATTTTCAAAGATTTTAACACAACATGTGAGTCCCCAGCCACCTGCAGTCCTACCCCCACTGGAGATAAGGCTGTGTTACATTCAGCCTTAGCTATAGCAACTCATACCAGAGATAGCCAGCAATTAAAGATCAGCTGACTACTCAGTGCTGTGCTGCTCTGGCTAATGCAGAAGCATTATTATAATTTTATAATTATAATTTTAGCAAAAAGGTTTTGAGCACTAAGGAACCCCTCATTCACAGTTAAACTGATCAAAAACAGTTTAACACTGAACTGCGAGCCTGCACCAGAGGTCTTTAGGAAACATAAGCACTAACAATGCATGAAGTGGTTATGGTACTTAGAGAGTCCCTTTAAATATCAAAAAGGGGATCAGTGGACACTCAGATTATAAGACTTGCTCTAAATGTCTAACCTAATAGTGAATGTCAAATGTGCAATTTTAAGACTTTGTTTGCTCCTATAAAGTCTACTTCTCCAGGTTACAATAGGGAAAATGGATCTGTGCATGCAGTATGAGTCAGTCTCCGCACTGGTGGGCAGTGCAGTGACACCAGTCCAAAGCAGGCTTCACCCCCTACTGTTCTACTACATCCCTCCAAATTGTTGGAGGTAGGACGCAACACCCAGCATGCTTTGAGTTTTAGTTGTCTACAGACAATCCTAAAGTGTCTAGTAAGAAATATACATGATTACAGTTTAATTGAAGTTCTAAAGAAGAGATTAAAGATATATTCATATACAGTATATAATTCATAATCATATATCAAGGAAAATCATAATCATAGTCATGCAGGTGTTCCAAATGACGGGACAGATTCCAATTGTATCCACAATAAAATGGCTATATATGCTTCCATAGAATAAACACGGAAGACATATTAAGATTGTAAACTCAACAGGAAATCCTATCGTGTATGCGGATTTATATTACCATGTTATTTTGTTTGAATACCCATACTTACCAAATCTCCCTAGTAAAGTAATTTCAATGCAAAATCACTAAGTGCATAGGGTAAAGAATTAAAACAAGATTGGAAGCGATACAGAAGATAGCTATGCCACAGTGTCACCGAAGGACTACATGTTGTAATAATTTATTTGAGGTAGATTTTTTTTTTTTTAAAGAATACATTATTAATTAATAGGCTGAATATTGTACATTGTGTTTATTCATTGCAGACTACTGCTGGAAAATGTTTGTTTACAAATTATTCTCGAGAATGTGATACGCCAAAGAAAAATGGAACAATATTTGGGGATCTAGTTGCCTTCTTTTCAAAACCTGAGAAGAGGGTATTGGTAAGTGTCTTATATTAATTTAAGTACGCACTTGTACATAACTCACATGTTATTGCATTAGTTACTTATACTTACTGTTTCAGGAACATTACCATCAAACATGCACAAGTGCGTATATATGCTGATATGTCTGTCTTTTTTTAAAGAAAATACACATCCTATAAGAATACAACTAAAGTTCAAACAATGGAACATGGTGAAAAAATGTGTAAAATTTATAGCTGAGAAGTCTCAATAGCCAAAAGAGCAGTAGTCCATGGATTAATCTGCTTCACTGGACTATTGGCTATTTTTATTCAAACTATTAAAAACAATGATTTGTTTTTATTTAGTTCTGCTTTGAAGATGATTCTTCTTGCATACACATTTCATGTTCGTTTGGAGACTTGGAAAGTGAAAATGAGGTAATCGTGGCAGTACAGCTTGAACTAAATCTTCTACTTCTGGAAATGGTAAGTGGTTAACAAATCATTTAAGTTTTACTGACCAGTGAATTATGCTGACCTGAAATAAGAATTACAAAATTCCGGCTAAAGTAGTCAATAGTTGGAATTTATGTGGCTTATTCTGGTTTATTTTGCAAACTGTGAATTGTGGGGTATTTACAAAACCATTGCAGATTCTAGAGCTAAAAATCCAGGTTTGAAAAATAGTTTAACTAAAGAATTGTTTTAGCTTGGTTATTCCCTCCTAAAACTAGCCCTTCTCTACAGTTACGGGAGAAGTGCCTAAACGCCATTGTGATCTTATATAAGCTTAATAAATAACGTATCAGTAATACAAAAATGGTTTACATCAGCAAATTTCTGAATTTTATAGCTATTTTTCTCTTTTATTTTTAAATTGTATACCATCAGGCCTTTCTCAGGAATAAAAATGTGAATCAAGATAGTGAATACATGGTGCTGTACTAACAAAATAACACGTGATAGAAGCTGTACAAACACTCCAAAGTTGTTCACTCACAGGTACAATCAATAAATACAATAGAATACAAAACAAGAACATGGAGGGTGCGCTAAACGATATGAAAACAATATATATACTTATCCACGTGGATATAGCAGTTTATTACTCTGTTGAGAAGTATACATATTGTTTTCATACTGTTAAGAGTGTACCGTCTACTTTTTTGTTTTGTATTGCTTCCTGAGGAATGTTTGAAGTAAAAAAATAATTATAATTATAAATAAATATATATATATTCAAGAAGAGAGCACTCTGGAGTCTTATAATTTGAAAAGTAAATACTGCTTTATTGTGCAGAATACAAAAAATGTCGACGTTTCAGTCAATTCTGACTTTTTTCAAGGTCTTGGAAATAAGTCAGCATTGACTGAAACGTCGACATTTTTTGTATTCTGCACAATAAAGCAGTATTTACTTTTCAAATTATAAGACTCCAGAGTGCTCTCTTCTTGGATATTACATACTGGTTGGAGATTGTTTGCACCGGAGCACGAAAAGACCGGGAACCTTGAGTGCTGGGATCTGGGAATATATATATATTACACACTGGTAAATCCACTTAAGTAAAGCCAATATCTTTTGGTAGGTGGCTGTGTTAATCATGTCACTAAATGTAAAATCTAGTTATACAAGAAATGGACGGTGTCTCAAACCGATTCGGAGTATTAGTTGCATGGAGCAATAAAGAAAAATTGATAAATGTTCTATTACTGATTCAGTAACCATGTAAAGAAAATAATAGATCATTTTAGTGAATATCCCTGGGAGTGTTTTGATAATTTGGCGATACATTCTGTTCACGTAGGCTGAACTTTTGTTGTAGAATTGAAATAGTGAAGGGAAAAGAGAGAAGTCCTCACAATTACAAATGGCTTCCTTTAGCTAACCAGGGAGAAACCTTTTTCAAGTACAGATTAATTCTGCAAATAAGAACATTTACATTCTAATGTGCATCTTACTGCAATAAACAATTCAATTGTACTTTTGTTTTCCCTTTTCAGGATGAATCCTCAGTGCTTGTGTTTATGACAACTGCTATGGCAGGACACGAGGCAAACGCAAAAGTGATTAACATGAACCCAAATAAACAAACACATGTAAGTGCTTTTTGTAAACACAGGAATGTGAAATTGTATTTATTTGATGTTGACCAACAACTTGCATGTATCAATCTAAGGCACACAAAGTTCCTGGACTCAAATGGGCCAGCTGGGAAGATCAGAGTGCAAGGGAGTATATGGCCTGCATCTGGCACTTCTTTATGATTCAGAGAATTGCCATAGTAATGCTTTGTCTCACCAGAAAGGAGACAGGAGCTCAAGTGGTCTGCACTCGTGGTAAGTGCAGACTTCAAGATCCACACATCAGACTATCCCCTGCAAACACTTTTACCTCATACAAATCCCACAAAACACAACAGCATTCAACACAGATGCAATAACACAGACAACCCACATCACACTACAATTATTACAAGCACTACATACAAACATTTAACATCAGAGTACACACAGACATAACACAAGGGACAGCCCACATACACTCAAACAATGCTACAAACCGTTCACATACACACAACACCAAAGAAGACCCGAACAGATTATACACGCATTCCTTCAAACATTCCACACATACGTTCATGCAACCTCTGTGCACACAAACTATACTACCATGTAGACTCGCATAACAGTACAGACATCACGCATACTTACATAACGAAAGCACACACAGCCTGCACACATACACAACCCACCTATACACAGATAAAACCTCACAAAGCAGCCTCGGCACCCAAACATAACACATGCAGAATTCCCCAGCATTCATAAACGTTGCCATAAAGACCCTAAGGGACTTCAAAGCTTTACATTGGCACAGCAAAAAGTTAAGGGAATCATGATAAAGCCTTTTATTACTATTTTATAATCTTATTTGCTAAGGAGGAAACATAGAAATTCAATAAACAGAGCCTATCAAAGTCTACCCTATAAAACAAATCTATGTACTCTATGCCGAATAAATATATATATATATATATACACCTGTAATTAGAAATCGAGAGAGTTATTCATGTTGTAATCATAGTGACTGCATTTCCAAAACTACTTCTATTTAACCCCTTAAGGACCAAACTTCTGGAATAAAAGGGAATCATGACATGTCACACATGTCATGTGTCCTTAAGGGGTTAAACTCATGTTTTTTCTAATAAAATTATGTGGCTATATCAATTAAACAAATCTATTTTAAACAGAAAAGCTTAATTTGGTAACATTGTTTCTCTGATTTTCTTTTAGGTATTCCTGGAAGCACTACATAATCAAAAGCCCCAAGCACACATAGTTGTTTTAATTATTTCTTTAAGCCTGTTGTTTGGCCTTATTCTCTTTTTGGTGCTCACATATGTGCTATGGAAGGTAAGTTTATTTATTTTTTCAAATGCAGATGCATGTTTCATTGGTAACACTCAATGCTAAATTAGCATTTTTCCTCGTGACTGATATTTTTATTAGCATTTTATACTTTCTTGTAAGGTCAAAAATGTTGTACTAAATGTTTTATTGTATAGTTTACAGTATTCTTTATGTACTAATATTGTTTGTTAATTTGTGTTTGTTTTTCAAACTTGTGTTACAGGTTGGGTTCTTTAAAAGAAAATACAAGTCTTTAAATTCAGATATAAGTTGGAACTATGTAAAGAAAGATGAAAAATAGAAGTAATATTTATTGAATATTCTAAGAATAAAAACTATATGGATGTTTAAACCACAAATTATGAAGAAAACATTTTTTTTTAATGAAAATGCGAGAAACCGATTCTGAATAAATCGATCTTCATTTCCTCAGGATGAAAAACTATACTTGGAGAATTTTTACGTTTGAAAATGCACTGTTCCCTAAAAAGATATATATATACACACACAACGTCTTATCTCAGGAATTTAGAAAAATTGAAGCAATATTCACACAAGTGATAACTTAATGAATATAAACATCTTAAAAAAGATTGTCTTGGCCAAAGATCACTGTAAAAACGATGGGTCTTCAAAAGTTCTTATTTCACTTCAACTCAAAATTCAAAAAACTGAATTGAGCATCTTACTAGCAAAATAGAACTGTCAAAATGTCCTTTGCACTGCAGCCAGTGCCGATAAGAGGAGACTTTTTTTCAGAGACAAAGGAGAGGCGTGAGCGGATGAACATAGCTCTTTAAAGCTATTTTGTTTCAAAACACTAAAAACATCCAGTGGACTTGTGAACACAACTGGATGTATCCATAAAGATCTGTTATGTGTTATGTTATGGTTGTTGACTTGTGTTTGTAATTAAAAGATGTAATATTGATGTTTTAGAAGAAAACAGTAAGTTTAAAAAAAAAAAAACTGCTGCAGAAATTGCATTGTATGTTTTTCATTTTAATTTGGATTCTAAGCTGCTGTGCATAATGCTCTGTGAAAAAAAAAATCAGATCTATTATTATGGTCAAAATCTATAAAAATACCAGTTTCCTTTCAAAGGAAAACTCCAGAAATTTTAACAATGTGTTACGGAGATATGTTGCATTTAAACATACAGTACAACAATAAACATGTTCCCTTCTCAATGTTCTCTCTTACAGCATCAAATCAAAAAATCTCCTGCTTCGAAGGGCATTCTTTTGAACCAGGTTGAGATTTTAAGGCAATCTTTGTTCTCTGATATTTTCTATATATAGATTAAAGGGACGCTATAGGCACCCAGACCTCTTCAGCTCATTGAAGTGCTCTGGGTACAGTGTTCCTATTGCACTTAGTGCTGCAATGTAAAACATTGCAGTTCCAGATAATCTGCAGTGTTTACATTGTAGCACTAAGTCTGCCTCCAGTGGTGTCTATCAGACAGCCACTAGAGGCGCTTCCTGAATTCTAATTCTGCATGAGGACATCCAGTGTCCGCTATTTTCCGAAAGGAAAGCATTGATTCAAGTGATCTTTTGCCCCATTTCTCATAGATGGGTGAAGAAGGAAGGGGAGGGGGGAACGGAGGCAGAGGGAGCAATAGTGCACCATAGTATCCCTTTAAGAATTTCTATATAAACAGAAGATTATGTGCACCGCTACGAGAATCTGGGGGAAAGGTCACTTAAACAAAATAACCAAAACTGTTTCAGCAAGTGAATAAATGTCAGTCTGTTGAGCATGGCGTTTACAGGGAAATGTATTTTTCCTTTGCATGTCTCAACACCATCCTGGAAGTGGAACACATAAGGACCATTCTAACCAGAAAGCTTATTTGCAAAAACAATGTATCTAGCACATAACTGATTAAGTAATTTACATATATGGAATTATCACTGTACTGCCCTTAATTGGGTAGTGGTCTTTTAAAACGTATGAGATCAGTCTTTGTTGTTTTTTTTGTTTTTAAAGAAAATATTAATTGGCGTGCAAGATTACATGAGATAATACAAACATTAGCTTCAGTGGTCGCTGTTATACTTGAATTTACGTCACTTTAATATAAAATGTCTGTAATTTAGGCATGATGTTCAGCCTTAAAAAAAGCTTATTAATAGAATATTTTCTATTGTATGATTTTTTTGAGAGTTATTTCGAGGTGCAATGTTCGTAACCAGTAACAGCTGCCTGCATTAATAACCACGAGTAAAAACACATCAAACCTGATGAAAATATTTTGTGAGGGTTTTTTTTCCTCTTAAATCTGTGTTTATGATGCTGCTTCTACCGTGTAACGGGCATACTACGAAAGGCATGGGTTAGAGGTAGGGCAATGATCACCGCTACATTTTTTTGTATGTTGATGGGCCAAGATGTATATTAAAAATCTGCTGTTTTAAAATGGCAACTTTTAAGTTGTCTGTCTTAGCATTAAAGGATAATGTTTGACTAATGTGCAAGAGCATGCATTTGTTTTTTATTTTTAACTTGTCATTGAAAGTGAGGAATTCATTTTAGTGTGAATTGTGGTAAATTCCCAGTGAATTTAGAGTGTATTTAAAATCTTAGGTCAAAATAGCTCAACTGAAAACACAGCTGACTTCTAAATGTAAATTGTTCTGTTTCGGCCTACAATGTGAAATTCATTTTGAAATCCCAAAAATGCACATCCAAGTAAATAACCCTGTACATGTTACAACGTGTATGTATAAAGCAACAAGGAAAAATATCATAAAGATTATGATTTAGTCAAAAGGGAACATTTACAATATGGGAAATCGTAAAAAATGAAAAAAAATAAAACACAGTAGTTACAAACAATATAGATTGGAGAGACACAGAAACACATGTTGTTCCTATCATTAAAATGTTTGCAAATATTTCCAGTAATATGTCTAAATGTCTTGGGAATAAAAATTGTCATGTTAATACAACTATTCAACTCAAATTAATGCAAGTTATAAAGAAAAGAATGACCACTGTGCTGATTTTCATATTTTATTTTAAAGACTTGAAAATACAAGTATAGAAACTATAGTGAAAATTCACTTCCCCTAAAAATCATACAAAAGTCGCAAGTTAATATTGAATGTTTTGTACCACTAGTTTTTTTTTTTTTTAAGATATTTTTTGTTCAAATGTCTCTAGTTTTGTGTGTGTTTTTCTCGTGATCTTTAACTGTCACATTTCTATTAAATACATCTATGGACAACGTTTCCATTTGTGTTTTTTTTGTTGTTTGTTTTTTTAAACTACAAGCAGCTACATTTTGCATTGCAATTATCCAGCTCTTCAATGTTGCTTCCATAGAGATTAAGGAGTTCAGGATGCAACCTATGAAACACATAGAATGAACATATTGAATTCAGAACTTGGCTTACTCCATCAGTGAAGAAATAAGACAGGCTATATGTCATTGTCATAACTGTTTTAAAAGCAATGAAGACAATGCTTTTTAATTTTGAACACAATTGCTAATTTTCATTTTATACAAGTAAAAAGTATGGTTATTAATACTGAATCCACTTCATTCACCCTGAGCTAAATCGGCTTAGTGCGTGCGTTATAAAAGAGTCAATGTCAAAAAACTGGGGCAAAGTTCTAAAATAGAATCATCCCCAGAAAAATGAATGAATGCTCCTGATTTAAACAAAGTAGGAAGTACATCATCTTGCCTATAATCACAATACTGCACAAGAGATGTGCTTGGCAGGAATTGTGGAGGGACCTTGCCAGCCCTATGTATGGGTTTACTTGCAAGTTGCAACCCTTTGGAGGACTGGTACCACACATGTTAATTGGTTTTCAGGACTAGACTGCCCCATTTGGAAATTACTGGAGTATATCAGGCTGCCAGATATGATGAGTTTTCATGGTGTTAACCCATGTCATGCTGAGGCTGCTTGTAGAGTTAAATACACTCATTGCATATTCTTGGCAGTCAAGTCATAAAAAACAAAAGTATTTCTCTCACTATGATTGCTTACTCTTGCTTGGCAAATCATACTGATTAAGGTCTATGACATGCATAATTTTACACCATGTGACTCTAGGAGCTTCCTTCATAAGTTGAATGCACATCGTGAGTGGGTCCATTGATAAAGGGGTCTGTAACTTTCACAGCCAATGCTATGCCTCTACCTCAAATATTGATAACCAGCAGTGAGGGAGACCTCATCACCCCACTCTGACAGACATTGCAAAATCGTATCTCCTGGTCAGCATAAAATATGTGAAACAAATAGAAAGGAAACATTGTGGAGGAAAAAAAAGAAAGAATTGAGGATATACAAAAAGTGTGACATGCTCGTTCAGTGGTCAGGAAGTGACGCTGAAGGCATTTATACTTACTTGATGCTCCCCTTTGCTGGCCCATCTTTCTTCTTCAACTCCTGGCACTATATCTGCCAGTACCCCATAGCCTGCTGTACCTGTTGCAAACTGAATTCTATAGACAATACTGCAATTCCACATGATCCTCCTTAAACTAACTTGTGCAGAGTGTAAGGAGATGCCTCTTTCCAACAGCCATTACTAGTCACAGTTGTGGGAGCTGACAAAAACTGACATCTTTTGTCACCTTTAGTCAACCCTGCGCTTTATCATAAGACAAAGTAGTCCCTACCTCGTTGTACAATATTTTTGACTGGCATTAGAATTTCAAAGAAATTCCAATACAAATGACATTGTGAAATACCAAAGATTTTATCTCCATGAAGGACTCAATAAGTAATTAGAGCGGACAGAGCAGGTCTAAGAGTTTTGAATGTGTATACATGCTAGGCATGTGCATGGGAAAAAATTTCGGTACGGTATTTCAAAATTCGGAACTTCGGTAATTTCGGGACCTCGGCAATTCGGAACTTCTCTTGCAGCTGCTTGGTAGATAACTCCCTAATTCCCACGGTATTAAGGAGTTATCTACCAAAAGGCTGAAAAACCTAAATTGGTCTTTCAGCCAAATTTACTAATACTAAGTAAAGATTACTTAGTATTAGTCAATTATGCCCCTACTCGCTATACCGTGAGTAGGGGCATCTCTAGTAAACCGTGAGCAGCCAGTAGCTGCTCACTGTTTAAAAAAAAAAAAAAAAAAGGGTTCCCCCTCCCGAGACGCAAGAGTAGGGGCTTTTAAACTAAAAGGGGTGCCTATTGCCACAGGCTGCTCACTGTTTAATAGACATGCCCCTACTAGCGGTATAGCGGCATAATTTACTAATACTAAGTAATCTTTTAGTAGATAGCTCCCTAATATCGTGGGAATCGAAAGTTATCTACTTATTCATTCCTGTCATTGACTGGCTAAGTAACTTACATTTTATATGAATGTGTGTTACTTGATTGTTGTAAGTGTTGCAAATGCTTACAGCTGAATCCTGGCTATGTTTGTATACTTTTTATTTAAAATTGTATACAATGTAACATTCTTCTTCTTTCACTGGGAAAGTATATAGGCAATACTGTGCTTCGGAACTTTGACACTTAGGAAATTCAGTAATTTCGGAACTTCGGGACCTCGGCAATTCGGACATTCGGAAGTACCCGAATGTCCGAATTCATATTCGGACCGAAACGAATTGCACGTGTCTAATACATGCAGTACATGTGTAAAATTAGTAGAAAAACATAATTTCTTCCATATTTACTCTAAGCTGTCATCACATTTTGTTAAAGAAAAAGTAAGTTTGTTTCTAAAATTTCATTAATTCCACAATTTTAAACATGAAGCATTTACACCAATTTTACTAACCTAATGTGAATTTCAGAAGAGACGTTCAATAAATCCCCATCAATGTTCAAAGAATATATATCTTCAGTAGGAATGGTATGTGCTTCGCCATTTTGTTCATATTCACTGTGCACAAAATTATGTGGTGGTCCTGTCTGCAATTTAACTTCTTCTACCAAATACGTCTCAACAAATGGAAAATCAAACTAAAAGTGGGAGAGAGCAAATGCTTTTAGAATCAACAATTCAACAGCACTAATAAGAAATAAATATTCACTGAACCGTCTCTCACATAGTCTTGTCCAAAGTCCGGGCCGCAGACCATTTGTGGCCAGCATTCCGGTTTAAAACGGCCTCACAGTCAATTTGGTAAATCTATCTGTTGTGGCCCCAGTGAATCACTGAGCGCCGCTCAGGACCCATGGGATCTCTGGATTTTTGAACGCCGCGGTCCTGAGCGGCGCTCGGGGATTCACTGGAGGCCAAGAGATCGCAAGAACGCAGATGGACGTGCAGTGACCTTAGTCTGCATTTTTGCGATCTCTTGGACGTCACAGGATTCGAGGGATTTGGTGCGTGATTGCGGGATTTGGTTCCTTCTCCCTGCTGGGACAGAAAGAAAGAATGGACAGAATAAAGAGGAACAGAATAAAGAGAGAAGGGACAAAAGAAAGAGAGAAGGGACAGAATAAAGAGAGAAGGGACAGAATAAAGAGAGAAGAGAGAATAAAGAGAGAAGAGATAGAATTAAGAGATTAAATGAAAAGTATGCAGTTTACAATACGATTTGTATAAAATAGCTCATTTGCATTCAATTTTAATGGTTCAAAGAATGTCAGGCCAATTGCCATTCAAGAAACAAAATAAATATGCAATAAAAATATCTAAACAAACAAAAAAACGAAAACATAAAAGTTAACCTGTCATACATTTGTAAAGCTAACCTAAATTGGCCACAAATAGATTTAATACATTCAATATGACTGAGACGATCTCTCTTCTTGCTTTGTTTACTATGGAAGTTTTAACTGCTTGCATCACGATACAAATATGAAATTGGCTAAAGTATGTGCAGCAACATTTTAACAGAAGTGTAAAAAGTTAACCCTTTGGTCCAAACTGCTATACTTTCAAATGATAAGACGCACCAATAAAAATTGTTGTCTTATAAATATTAAAGAGACACTATAGTCAACCAAACCACATTAGCTCATTAAAGTGGTCTGGGTGCAGTGTCACTGTCCCACTTAGTCATGTTTTTAGAGAAACAGGCAGCCACTAGATGCACTTTCTGGATGTTAAGTGACTGAGGCTCTGCAGGAGGACATCCAGCGTCAGTGAAATACCCATAGGAAAGCATTGAGGCAACGCTTTTCTATGGGGAGGGTCTAATGCGCTTGCAACACATATGCAGGGCCGCCATCAGGGCATGACAACTGCAACGGTTGTCATGGGCCCGGCGGTCCTGGGGGGCCCGGACTGCTCAGGTCGTCCGGGCCCCACATTCAGTGGGTACATACCGGGTCGCAGGGGGCCCTGCGACCCGGTATGTACCCACAGGGCCAGCCTCTTCTCCTGGGGGGCCCAGCAGCCGGTCACCTCAGGGCCCCCCAGAGGCTGGCCTTGCTGACACCCGGCCGGCGGGCGCGCGAGGGAGCACTCTCTGTGTGCTTCCTCTTCAGCTCCCTCGCGCACCGTACTGATGCCGGAGCCGGAAGATGACGAAGATGACGTCATCCTCCGGCATCAGTACGCGGTGCGCGAGAGAGCTGAAGAGGAAGCACACAGAG